ACGTGGAAGGAGACGGAGAGAAAGCCTCAGAACCTCCAGAAAAAATCAAAGATTTACAGAAGGAGTTCCAAGACATTCTTTCCGACGACCTTCCGAACGAGCTACCGCCATTCCGAACGCATCAACACGAGATCGTAGAAGAACCAGGTTCGAAGCCGACCTTCCGAGCACCATATCGGCTCAGCCATACAGAGCTAGCCAACATGAAGAAACAGATCGAGTATCTCCTCGCCAAAGGACCCATCTGACCATCCAATTCGCCATACGGCGCCCCAGTGCTCTTCACACAAAAGTCGGACGGAAGCCTGAGCATGTGCATCGATTACCGAGCTCTCAACAAGCAGACCATCAAGAACAAATGCCCGATTCCACGAATCGATGACCTGCTTGATCAGCTTCGGGGAGCGACGGCATTTTCCAAACTAGACCTGCGGTCCGGATACTGGCAGATAAGAATGGCGGACAATTCCATCAACAAAACTGCCTTCCGAACTCGGTACAGGTCGTACGAGTATCTGGTAATGCCGTTCGGACTCACCAACGCACCGACAACGTTTCAAGCCGAAATGAGCCACGTTCTATGACCACTCTTAGACGAATGCGTGGTGGTGTACCTGGACGACATCCTCATCTACTCACGTGACATGAAGCAGCACGTCGAACACTTGCGACGCGTCTTCGAAATTCTTCGAAGAGAACGATTCTACGTCAAATTGTCCAAGAGCGAATTCGCCCTTGACAAAGTCCAATTCCTAGGACACATGGTGAGCACTCAAGGAGTCCACGTCGACCTCAACGATCGAAGCCGTACGCACGTGGAAGACACCCGAAAACGTGAAGGAGTTGCAGCAGTTCCTAGGCTTCGCTAACTATTACAACAGGTTCATGTCACAGTACGCGAAGATCGCAACACCATTCACGAATCAGCTGAAGAAGAACATGCCCTATACAGTGGCGGATTAAATTGCCCGGATGTTTAACACTTTGAAACGTATCGCTATGCCACACATGTTTCGAAAATAGTAACACCCAGTTTTTTCCATTCCGTTACAAGGTTTCCGAGTTCTGCTTCAACCGTTTCTTGCTTGGCGCAATTGTGTCACAACCTGAAAGTAGGGTTGAAATTTACTCCTCGACAGTCGATGCGGACATTTCCAATCGAGCGGAAGAGTAGATCTATTTTCCCCCGTCACTCAGTGTGTACATCGTAACGCGCAATAGTTGCTGGCTTAAGAGTTAGTCCGGAAGCGAGCCTACGACCGCATCGCCATGAAGCCGTTAACTGAGCGGAAACGCGCGCGAATCAGAAGCATGTTGCGTGCGGGCCATTCGACTAGGAAAATAGGCAAAGTTCTTGGAATAGGCAAGAGCACTGTGCACGATTACAGTTTGAAAGTGGCTGCCGAGACTAGTCTCGAGGAGGTGCGACCTACGATGCCTTCGGCCGGCCGCCCCCGCTTAATCACTACCCGTCTTCAGCGCGGAATAGTACGCGCGATTACAAGCGGCGAGGCGAAAAGCTCTGTAGAAGCGGCAAATATGTTGTTGGAGAAGCACGGTCTCGCCGTAGACTCGAAGACGGTCCGGAACTCATTACGATCCGCGGGGCTGATCGCCGTGCATCAGCCCAAGAAACCCAGGCTCTCACCGAAAAACATCCGAGATCGTCTCGACTTCGCGCGGTCGCATGCCGACTGGACGCTGGAGGACTGGAAGCGGGTGATTTGGTCTGACGAGACAAAGATAAACCGCTACTGCTCCGACGGACGTGCGTACGCCTGGATTCGCGAGGGCACCAGCCTTCGGAGCCATCAAGTCCAACAGACAGTTAAGCATGGGGGCGGTTCTGTGATGGTGTGGGGTTGCATGACGTATGAGGGGGCGGGGTTCATGTGCAAGATAGATGGCAGGATGGATGGGCCGCTGTATCGCAGCATCTTGCAAGATGAGCTCAAACAGACCATCGATTTTTTCAAGCTTTCCCCCTCAGAGGTCATTTTCCAGCACGACAATGATCCCAAGCACAGGTCTCGTCTGGTCCAAGATTGGCTTGGGGAGCAGGAGTACGCGGTGCTGGAATGGCCGTCGTGCTCCCCGGACCTTAACCCGATTGAGCACCTGTGGGCATACTTGAAAAGGCAGCTGGGGAAGTACGAAAAGCCGCCAAGGGGAATGCTGGAGCTGTTGGAGAGGGTGCAGGAGGAATGGGACAAGATACCGGCGGAGGTGTGTGCAAACCTGATCGACAGCCTGCCGAGGAGGATCAAGGCAGTGATTCGGGCAAAGGGACGCTGGACTAGGTACTAGTTTTCCTAGAATCTAGTATGATACCTTTTTTCGGTACAAATTGTCCGGATGTTATCCTATGCTATGCTTAGGTGTTTAAGGACCATGTGTGGTACTACTTTGGTGTTTGGCAACTCGAGTGAGTGCTCTAACTGATCTTCTCAGCGTGTATGCACACCATACATTAAGGCTTAATGTTTACGCCGCTGCACTCATCAAAATGCCAAAAAAGGCTGAACATGTGGACAATTTAATCCGCCACTGTAAGTGGGAAACACAACACCAAGAAGCTGTGGAGAAGCTGAAACACGCACTCACGTCCGCACCTGTACTTATCTTGCCAGACCCCGAACGCGACTACATCATCGAAGCCGACGCTAGCGACTAGGCAGGGGGAGCAGTCTTGATGCAAGATCAAGGGAATGGACTGCAACCAATCGCTTACCTCAGCAAGAAATCACACGGGGCAGAACTAAACTACCCGATACATGATAACGAGGCCCTTGCAATTATCATCGCGTTCAAAACGTGGAGATGTTACCTCGAAGGACGCAAAACAACCGTCTACACCAACCATTGCAGCCTGAAATATTTGAAGACACAACCAAACCTCTCCAAGCGACATGTCCGATGGATCGACTTCCTCGAGACGCAATTCCACTATGACATCATGTACAAGTCTGGCCACAAAAACAAAGCAGACGCCCTTAGCCAGCCTGCACACGTTGCCGCCGTCCAAATCGAAGGGATGAATCCACTACTCAAGGGACTCTTCACACACGGGTACACCATCAACCCCGAAATTCAGTGCAGGCAGAGCGCCAGGTCTCGTCTATCGTGCAGAGGTGAGCGGCCAGGTCGGCGACAGTGGGGAAAGAAGCAAGGTCAGGAAAGAGCATAGGCAGGATCAGGTGACATACAGAGGCAGCGGGCGGGGTGGAATAGCGCTTGACAACAACATCTAGGAACTCCTGCGTAGTCGTAACCGACCGAAAGCAAGGGCGCTCAGACAGGGGGACGGCATGACTGATTGCAAGCTGCGCTACAGCGTCACGCGACAACCAGACTGAGTGGGCAAGGGCAGCAGCTGCAGCGGACTCACGGTCAGCGGACGAGGGGTCAGTGGGCAGGGCAGCAAGGGGTCAGGACAAGGAAGCGTACCGTCAAGGTGGACCGCCAGGGAGTGGCCATCCTGCCGCTGACCAGTGAGATGACGACGGAGGTCGACCAACCACGTGTCAAACTCGAGCGGCTGACCCTCTGCGTCGAAGCGGAGCACGGAGTCCGCCATCAGGAGCGATGCAGCAGCGGTGCAGTGCAGTGCGGAGCGGTGCAGTGCGGTGCTGTGCGGTGCAGTGCAGTGCAGTGCTGTGCGGTGCAGTGCGGTACCGAGTAGTAAGGGGCGGTGCAGTGCGGTGCTGTATGGCGCGCAACTACACAATGGACGCTGGGGTCGGCGGTGGGCCGGCTGACGAGAAGGGACGGGTGCGGGGGCCGACGAGGGACGGGCGCGAGGGCGGCTAGAAGGGGCGCGAGGGCCAGCTGGAACGGGCGCAAGGGCCGGCTAGAACGGGCGCGAGGGCCGGCTGGAACGGGCGCAAGGGCCGGCTAGGAACGGGCGCAAGGGCCGGCTAGGAACGGGCGCGAAGGCCGGTGAGGAACGGGCGCGAGGGCCAGCTAGGACGGGCGCGAGGGCCGGCTAGGAACGGGCGCGCGGGGCCGGCTAGGAACGGGCGGGAGGGGGGGCTGGCTGGAACGGGCGCGAGGGGCCGGCGGGAACGGGCACGAGGGGCCGGCTAGAACGGGCGCGAGGAGGGGGAGGCCGGCTAGAACAGGCACGAGGGGCGGCTGGAACGGGCGCGCGGGCCGGCTAGGAACGGACGCGAAGGCCGGCTAGGACGGGTGCGGGGGCCGGCTAGGACGGGCGCGGGGGGGCGGCTAGGACGGGCGCGGGGGCCGGCTAGGAACGGGCGCGCGGGCCGGCTAGGAACGGGCGCGAGGGGCCGGCGGGAACGGGCGCGAAGGCCGGCTAGGACAGGCACGGGGGCCGGCTAGGATGGGCGCGGGGGGGGGGGGGGCGGCTAGGACGGGCGCGGGAGCCGGCTAGGATGGGCGCGAGGGCCGGCTGGAACGGGCGCTAGTGCCGGCTAGGAACGGGCGCAAGGGCCAGCTAGGAACGGGTACGAGGGCGGCTAGGAACGGCGCGGCTAGGGGGGGACGGGCAGCTAGGACCTAGGGCGGAAGCGTGGGCGGGCGGTGGGACCTACCTACTCATGATACCATATCAGAAGTGAAGAAGTGGATAGAAGGAGAGAGTACAGGGGTATATAGCCTAGAGTGTTGTACCCTCAAAGGCACAAACCTATATTGTCTATACTAACATACTTTGATATGTTTGACAGAATCGAGGTGGGGTGTTTCCCTGACGTAAATGTCATCTGTAGATGGACCTGTTCTGCAGGCATGTGGATGTAACTAGGTTCGGGTACATATTGTGCCAGGTTTTGGGGAAATTTTGCGGGCTGACCCTCGATCCGAAGCAAAATTTCACGTTTTTGGAAGGTGCTCTGATGTAATCTGCAGTTTCCTTTTTTGCCTGCAGAATGCACCCAACATGCATACGACAGCATGGTGCAACTTCGTAGAAGCAGGGTGCACAATTTTAAAATCTCCACAAAAGCACACCAAGAAACATGATGCAACAAAGGATTTGTCTAGACACCAGATTTTTGTTACATGAACTGGGCGACCCAAGCAAGAACTCAGTACAGCTTGCATGATTTGTAGAAACCAACACAGATTTATAAAATATAATGCAGCACTAATAGTGAACTTGCACCTGTCAACACTTGCTCGACCACCATTCCACAGCAGCATTTGAGACGGTGAAAACAGCAAAATGAATGCCAGGGACTCATTCTAGCACTAGAGCTTAGCTCAAATTGTATACCAATTGAAACAAGTGCACCTGCTGCCACGTCCGGCTCAGCTGACACTAGAGCTCACAGACTCTGTCACATCTGCAGGCTTCTCCTTCCCTTTCTTCCCCTGCTGCTTCTTCCCCCCTGCAGGCTTCCCCTTCCCCTTCCCGCCCTTACCTCCCGCCTGTGCCCCCGCCTCCTCCCCCTCCCCCTCCTGCTCTATCCTCGCAAACACAGGTGCCGGCTCTGCTGTTTGCTGCCCTGCTTTGAGCCCACCCCACTGTGTGTCAGCCTGCACACCACGAGGCGAAGAGGAGCAGGGAGGAGTGGGGGGAAGGAGGGTGGAACATGTATGTGGAAATTACCACCTCCTCCTGCTCTGTCCTTGCGAACACAGGGGCCGGCCCTGCTGTGCTTTGGCCTGCTTTGAACCCCTCCCCCTTCCACACCCCCCCCCCCCCCCACCCGCCCCCCCCACCCCCCCAATCTCTTTTTCCAGCGGGGTCAGACTGCATTCCAGACTGCGAGGGGAGCGTTCGAGAGGGACTGGTTTTCGACTCACAAGTCAACTTTGCTCAAAGGACATCTCAACTCGCCCTCACTACAGCGGGGTATAATTTCCAAATGAATGCCACAGCAAAATGTAGATCCGATGTGAACCCCAAATGGCATGAAATGCCTTCTCTCTCCGCCATTTCACTGCGACGCATCGCTCAATAGTGAAGCCCAAGGAATGTGGCTGTTGCTTTAGAGAGAGAGAGGAGTGACGGGGGAGAGAGCCGCTTCAACTCACCCATTGAATGGCAGAGAACTCTTGAGGAGTGAAGCCCAGTTGGGTGAAGATGCTCCGGGAGAGAGTGGGGGCAATGGGGGAGAGAGAGGGGGAAATGGGGGAGGGAGTGGGGGCGATTGGGGAGAGATGGGGGGGCGATGGGGGAGGGAGTGGGGGTGATGGGGGAGCGAGCTGCGTCAACTCACCCATTGAATGGCAGAGTATTGTTCAGGAGAGAAGCCCAGTTGGGTGTAGATGCTCTGGGAGAGAGTGGGGGTGATGGGGGAGAGCGCCACCGCCACGCAGCGAGCCGTCTCCAACACCGCCACCAGGTCCTGATAGGCAGTGAATGGGGGGGGCCGTGGGGAGAGGAGGGGAGGGAAATGGAGGAGGGGAGAGTTGAGGTGACGGGGGAGAGCGCCACGGCCACACAGCGAGCCATCTCCAACACTGCCACCAGATCCCAATGGGAAAAGAAGGGAGGGAGAGGGGGGGGGGATTGTGGAAGGCAAGCAAAGGGAAGAAAGGCGGGACAACAGGAGAGGGGCCGACGGTCACACAGCGAGCTGTCTCCAACACCGCCACCACATCCTGATGGGCCTTGAGTGGGAGTGGGCCGGGGGGGGAGGGGGAGGAGAAGGAGGGGAGGAGGGGAGGGCTGAGATGGTGGGGGAGAGAGCCACCGCCATTCAGCAAGCCGTCTCCAACACTGCCACCAGACGAGAGGGGGGGCTGGGGGTGGGGGTGTTTTGGGGGGAGAGGAGGGGAGGGAAATGGAGGAGGGGAGAGTTGAGGTGACGGGAGAGAGAGCGGTCGCCACACAGTGGGCCGTTTCCAACACTGCCACCAGATCCCAATGGGAAAACTAGGGAGGGAGAGGCGGGGGGGGGGGGTGTTGGAGATAGGCTGCAATGTTGCACATTTGTGTGTTAGTCATTTGTTTGTTTAGGGTTAGGAATATTTGTTAGGTTGGGTGTAGCTTTTTTTTTTTAATCTCCAACCTATCCCAACCCAATCCATCCCAAATCCCCACGATTTGGGAGGATTCCCTTGGGATTCCCTCCGATTTCCCTTATCCCTTCCAACCCTCTCCTATGGTTAGTACTTAAGCTTGTATGCCCTCTCATTTTAATCAATCAAAGTTCTGTTTCTTACAGGGGGGGGGTTGGGGAAGGGGATTGTGGAAGGCAAATGGAGGGAAGAACGAGGGGAGAGTGGGAGAGGGGCCCCCCCCACGGCCACACAGCGAGCTGTTGCCAACACAGCCACATGATGGGAAGGGGGGAGAGGCATGTGACGGCATAGGATGCACACACGAAGTCTTGAAATGGAGAGAGTTGTATCACGCTGCCTTTCGTGCCACCGCACCGCTTACTGGACAGCATCAGCCGCCTCTGCTGGTCCTTGACCGACCTTGCTCCATGGCGCCCTCTCCTCTCCTCCATGTACCGCTTGGAGATGTCTCATGTCTAACACTACACCACACCACACCACGCCACACCACACCACACCACATCACACCACATCACACCACACCACGCCACGTCACACCACACCACACCACACCACACCTACAACACTCACCGCAGCCGCCTCTTCAGCCTCCTCTCCTCCCTTCTTGAACTTGCTCCACGGCGCCCTCTCCTCCAGAAACCCGTTCCCAGCCGCTGCTGGCGCCAGGATCGCCTCACACGCACCACTGAAGTCAAGAGCCGCGTAGCAGGCTGCTGCTGTCGCCATCTGTAGGGAGCGGCGAGGGGGGTTGTGGTAGGGAGGGATAGAGGGGGTGTGGTGAGAATGCTGGTGCGAGGATCGCCACACACTCCCTGATGAAGCCAAGAGAGGCATGGCGGGCTGCTGCTGATGCCATCTAAGCCACTGCTGACGCCATTTAAACCGCCAGACGAGTGTGGAGTGGAAGGAGGAGGAGGGGGGGGAGAGGGGAAGAGGGTATGTTCGAGTGTTGGTTACCTCTACCTGCGACCTATAAGGGAGCTGAGGGAGACAGTTAGAGAAACATGCTTAGAATAGTAGTTGACCCGCGTGAGAGGGCATGGATAACGTGAGTGAGGCGGCAGGGCGAACGTGAGAGGGAAGAGTGAAGGCAAGAGAAAAGGGATAGGAGAAAGGGGGCATGGAGAGAGGCAGAGAGGCAGAGAGGCAGAGAGAGGCAGAGAGGCAGAGAGGCAGAGAGAGGCAGAGAGGCAGAGAGGCAGAGAGAGGCAGAGAGGCAGAGAGAGGCAGAGAGACAGAGAGAGGCAGAGAGAGGCAGAGAGGCAGAGAGGCAGAGATGCAGAGAGGCAGAGATGCAGAGAGGCAGAGAGAGGCAGAGAGAGGCAGAGAGAGGCAGAGAGAGGCAGAGAGAGGCAGAGAGAGGCAGAGAGGCAGAGAGAGGCAGAGAGAGGCAGAGAGAGGCAGAGAGAGGCAGAGAGAGGCAGAGAGAGGCACTGACAGAGGCAGAGAGAGGCAGAGAGGCAGAGAGAGGCAGAGAGAGGCAGAGAGAGGCAGAGAGAGGCAGAGAGAGGCAGAGAGAGGCAGAGAGAGGCACTGACAGATGCAGCAGTGGCGGTGCGAAGAGGGTGATCCAGGGGCAGAGCAGCAGAGCCGATGCTGAGAGTGCTGGCGCAGTTCTTTTTCAGCAGACCCAGGGTGCGGTTCACCAGGTTGCCTGTGGGGGAAGGGCAGCGTGATGGGGTGGAAGCCAGATTGAATGGATGGATGCGGTGCAGCATGGATGGATGGAATGCAGCATGGATGCATGGAATGCAGCATGGATGGATGGATGCGGTGCAGCATGGATGGATGGATGCGGTGCAGCATGGATGGATGGATGCGGTGCAGCATGGATGGATGGATGCGGTGCAGCATGGATGGATGGATGCGGTGCAGCATGGATGGATGGAGTGCAGCATGGATGCATGGAATGCAGCATGGATGCATGGAATGAAGGGGGAAGAGAGGTCAGGAGAGGAACAGACAAGACACTGAGGGGCAGAGCAGCACAGTGGATGCTGAGGGTGCTGGTGCGGATGTTTCTGCCCTCTTCTTTTTTCATGGGCTTTAGAAAGATCCCAGGAGGAAACCATGCCCCCTTTCCCAAGCCGACATGAATTCACGAATGTCGACGAATAAATCTCAAGAATAGTCTCTCGCTGCCGCAAGTTGTTGGGTCAGGCACTCACCGATAGTGTTTGCAAGGTTGGCATTGACGATGTTAATGAATCGCTCTCTAGAGAAGTCCCCATCGCTGCCGAACTCGATCTCCCGTAGGAAGAAGTATCGCACTGCGTCCGCGCCAAAGCTGGTCACCAGCTCCTGGGGGTCGATGGTGTTGCCCAGGGACTTGCCCATCTTATGGCCGTCCTGCATAGGGGGGTCATGAGCATGGAGATGAGGGGTAAAATCATTCTGTCCGCCCACAGTTACGGAGGGGAGACAGACGGTATGAAAGCAGGGCAACAGGGAGGAAAGGAAGGGAGGAATGGAAGGGAGGAAAGGAAAGGGGGAAAGAAGAAACGGATATGCAGCAGAGTGTATTTAACCAACGGTAATGCAAAGCTGCCTTGGAGAGGAGGAAAGAGGAAGGACCATCTATGCTAGGCTGTGGCTAATGGCCTACATTACACTCCAACACTTGCCTTGGTGAGGAAGCCATGGCCAAACACAGTGGTTGGGGGCGGTAAGCCGGCAGACATGAGCATGGCGGGCCAGTACACAGCGTGGAAGCGCAGGATGTCCTGATGGGGGGAGGGGTGGGGGGGTGGGGAGAGGGGTAGAGGGTAGCTATGGAAGTGCAACCTCGCGATTAAGGGGCCGGCAGACATGAGCATGGTGGGCCAGTAGACGGCGTGGAAGCGGAGGATGTCCTGATGGGGGGGGGAGTTGGGAAGTGCAAGCACGTGCCGCGAGTGAGGGGACAGTGGAGGGCATGGCAAGGGATTTGTCCTCAAGACAGTAGAGAATGGCAACGGAGATGTCCTGATGGGGGGTGGGGGGTATGGGGGGAGGACAGTTTTTTTGTGAACAGGGTAGAAATTATTTTCAGGGCGAATTTCTTTTGGGAAAGAAGATTTGTTTTGAGACGTCTCAAAACAAAACTTCTATCATCGGGTAGATGAGGACGTGAGGGCGTTTTTTTTTGGGAAAGAGCAGACAGAGATGAGCGTAGCGGGCCAGCAGACAGAGATGAGCGTAGCGGGCCAGCAGACGGCACGGAAGTGAAGGACGTCCGGATGGGGAGGGAAGGGAGGGGATGAGGAGAGGGGAGGGGGGAGACGAAGAGGGAGGGGTAATCAGGGAAGTGAATCCGGGCATGAAAGAGCACGCAGACATGAGATGAGCGTGGCTGGCACTTACACCAGCTGGTATCATATCACAGGTGTTATGGTTAATGGCAAGTATACATAACATCGGAGTCTGGACACATTGTGATAACGAATATCAGGATATCCAGATATGACGGTACGTATGAGGATATGAGGATATGAGGATATGAGGGTATGAGGGTATGAGGATATGAGGATATGAGGATATGAGGGTATGAGGATATGAGGATATGAGGATATGAGGATATGAGGATATGAGGATATGAGGATATGAGGATATGAGGACATGAGGACATGAGGATATGAGGGTATGAGGATATGAGGATATGAGGGTATGAGGATATGAGGATTTGAGGATATGAGGATATGAGGATATGAGGATATGAGGATATGAGGATATGAGGATATCCGGTGAAGCCCATCCCCTTGTAGTTGTTCTTCTCAGGTGAATCCAGGGCTTTTGCAGGGTGTTTTTGACAATTCTCAAAAACACCCTGCAAGATCTATAGGCAACAACACTTACACTCACTTTCTCGATATAAGTCACAGCAGTCAGTTTTTCCCGTAATAACGCACAGCCTTTGCCAACAGCAGTGAGACCTAAAACAGACACACACGGTGAAGCTTTTGCTTTGCTTTTTCCCATACTCACTCCATCATTGAAGTCAGAGCAATTTTCCCATTACGGCCACACACGCTTTGCATCTATTCGTATCTCACTCCACTCCACTCCACTCCACTCCACTCCACTCGTCTAGTGCAGTCCAACGACACTTGCCAACGATAAGCCCAGAGGCGCGTTACCCCATCCCATAGAGGCGACAGTCACACTCACTCTGCACCCGCTATAGGCACGCCCGCTCTGCACCCCCACCCCACTCTGCACCCGCTATAGTCACACCCACCTTGCCAATGATATGAACCGATGCGGGCCATCCCCTAGAAATTGCCATGTCCAGGCTTGGCTCATCGTCCTCCTCTAGCAGCGCTGAGACGTAGCTGAGGGGGGGGAGGGGGGGAGGAGAGTGGCAGAGTGGGGAGGACGGGAGTGTGAATCGATTCAGAGCATGAGTACAGAGTCCAGGCTTGGCTCTTCTTTTGAGGCGCCTCAAAAGCGTCCAGGCTTGGCTCAATGCCCTCCTCTAGTAGTGCTGAGATGTAGCTGCAAAGAAAGAGAGGAGCAGATGGGGGGTGCGGGGCAGGAGTGAAGGTAAGGGCGGAGGCGAGGAGGCATGTCCGTTTGCCCTCCTATACCGACGGTGAGATAAAGCGGCTATGTTGGGACGTGAGAGGGCATAGGCAGAGAGGAGGGAGTCTGACTGGCTGTTCAAAACCAATGGTGCGAAGTTACTGCAGTGGTGTGGAGGGTGGGGGGACGGGGGGAAGGGAGGAGATTTGGGGGATGAGCTGAGCCCATATGAGCCCATATGAGTCACGCAGAATACCACCGACTCCGAATACGTGACTCACATTGGGATGTTCTAGAAGACGCTGCTGAAGTCTTCTAGAGATGATTGACAGCCATTGACTCACTCACACCAACAGTGCACCGATTCCCTCCAATTCCCTCTTCATCCATTCACTCTCACCTTGCCATGTACTGATAAAGCCTTTGGCTCCTTACCTAATCAATTATTTCAACTCTATTTCTTACATGGTATCAGAGCGATCTATCCGCACACACGCATCAAGGTCCAAATCTGAACGTGCCCGCGCTACGCGCACTTCATCGTCGCGACATTCGTTTCGAGTCGTCGGAATTTCAACGTGCTCCACTCTGCAGTCGCACCTCTCATCGTCGATCGCCTTCGCGCTTGACCTCGTTGAATTTCTCATCTCTGAAGCTTTCACCCTTCTCATCGTCGATATCCTCCTCGGTTTTCCTTGGTCGAATCTCAATTTCGACCATCTCTTAAAACTCGTTCTCGAGTTTCCTCTCAGTCCCCGCCAGAATAGGCAAACTCCCCTCGCGAAATCGCCTCCACGAACGTCTCGCGTCAAATCAAGAGCAGGTACACAGGTTGAAGCGAAGCGGAGCTGGTTGCGGAGCTGGTTGCGGAGCAGGTTGCGGAGCTGGTTGCGGAGCGGAGCGGAGTTGTGCAGCTGCGGGACATGGCCTGGGGGTGTGTGGGGGGGTGTGTGGGTCCGGGGTTAGACATAGGCTCAGATTCAGTTTCAAGTCGGCATTTTTACGAATTTCCGCCGACGCCATTTCCTACTTAGCGGCATTTTGATACAGCCGTCAGAGTGATTTTCAGCAATTCTCGTCGACCAATTTCCAGAAGTGCCGCGCTGCACACCGACAATGGCTTACTCAACCACTTCACTCGCCAACCCGATCCTGCTCCTTCGCCTCGAGCCGGACGGTACATGCTTCAACTACAAGGCTTGGCGCTATGGTGTCGACTAACACCTCCTCAGTCGCGAGGTGAAGGGGCTCGAGCTCATCGACGTCTTTCTCAACATCGGTGACGGCAAAGAGCCTCCTAAACCCGAGAGGTCCGCCGATCCAGCTAATGCCGCCGCCGAAGCAGTTTATGCTGCTGCACTGCTCAAGTACAAGAATTGGGAGAAGGCCGATGGTGCGGTCATTAGTGTCTTCATGGGCACCACTCCTCCCGAACTCGTCGAAACCTACCACAACTACCCGTCTGCCAACGCCATTTGACTCTACCTCGAAGACCGCTTCTTGAACAAGACTGCAGTGGGAGTTGCTATACTCATCCCCAGCATGTTCGAAGTGCGGCTCGAGGACTCGCTAGGCATGGCGGACTATGTCACCAACGTGCAGTCCATTCATGGTGAACTCAAACAGTTGGGAATAGTCTTCCCTAAGCAAGCCCCTGCAGCCGCTCTCCTAGTTGGCCTCACTCCGGCATACGAAGTCGCACGCAAGATGCTCTTGGGCCTTGCTCCTGCAGACCTCACATTTGCCAAGGTCTCATCCGCGCTCCTTTCTGCCGGAAAGGACAACAGCGCTCAAGCCAAGGCCAATGCAATCCACGCTCCCGTGCCTCAAGCCTATGCCACTTCGGCGCCATTCCAGCGCAACCGCTTCCCCCCGTGTCCCTACGTCATCAAGCCAGGTGTGAGGCGGCACCAACCACGCCCTTGCCTCCTGCTTTAAGAAGAAGGATGACGAGTGGTATGCTGTCAATGGGACCGCCTTGAAGCCGCCAAGCTGGATGGTCAATCGTGCTCCTCGCCAAGTCAATCAAGTCAAAGCGCAGGAATCCGTGCAGGCTGCTGTGGCTGCACCTGCTGATGTGCGCCTCAACATGTTGTTCCCCGGCTCTGCTATGATTAATGAGACGATTTCGCAGTATCCTGGCTCACCTGCACTTCAGCCACAATAGAGTTCACCCTCGATAGTGGGGCCACTCACACGGTTCTCAAGGAAGAACACTCATTCAAGCCATACGAGACACCAATCCGTCTACTTGGAGCAGACTCCAGTTTCACAACACACGCCAAGGGCTCCTCCACAGTTCCGTGCCCAGCTTTTCTTTCGGGCAGTGTGACTGGCATGTGTGTTCCCACACTACGCCACAATCTCGTGGCCCAACACGAGCTCCAACGGGCAGGCATCACCACGATCTTCCCAGCACACTCGGATCACTGTGACCTCTTCGACCCTAAGTCCAACAAGCTCCTAGCACGCTTCACACTCAACAGTAGCAAGCTCTACACGCTGCGTTCACCTGCACCTCTCGCCGCCCTCTCCCAAGCGCAAGCTGCCAGCACCACTCCGTGTTCGTGTCGCAGCTTCGCCAACCTAACCATCCTCTACCACCATCGCTTGGGTCACCCCAACATCCGTACACTTGCCGACATCGCTTCCAAGAAACTTCTTCTTGGCCTCCCGTCGGCGCTTCCTCCACCAACAGACTCACCTGCACCCACCTGCCTGGACTGTACCAAGAGCAAGCTCAGGCAGCAGCCACACCCTTCCTCCCAATCCGTCGCAGCTGCTCCGCTGGACCTAGTGCACATGGATGTCTGGGGCCCAGCTCCAGTCGCATCCCGAGGCGGTCATCGGTACTTTTTTACACTAGTCGATGACCACTCGCGATATGTTTCTGGGCACCATCTGCATACCAAAGCGGGGGCACCTGATGTCATTATGGCATGGGTGTGCCAGGCTCAAGTCGCGTTCAGCACTCCTCTGACGTGCCTCCATTCTGATGGCGGGGGAGAATTTCGCAATGGCAAACTCGATAACTTCTGTGCGGCCCAAGGGATTCGGCAAACCTTCACGCTCCCCGAAAGCCCGCAGCAGAACGGCATTGTAGAGAGCCACAACCACACCTTGGTTCAGATCGCTCGCTGCCTCCTCAGTCGCGCCAACGCACCACGGTCACTCTGGGGATATGCCCTCTTCCTTGCGGCACTCCTCTACAATCTTTATCCGCATCCCCACCGGCCCGACACCACACCTACCGCTCTCTGGCTTGGGGTCACACCTTCCGCCCAATCTCTTCGCGTCTGGGGGTGTACCGCGTATGTGTTGCTAAGCCCCCACACGCACAGGAAGCAAGGTCCCAAAACCCAGACCTGCATGTACCTGGGACACAACTCCGACTCTCCGGACTACTTATTCCTCAACCCAATCACCAGACAGCTGATTCGCAGCCGTAATGTCGTCTTCGACTCTCGCCTGGGGACCAGCCGCCTACGCTCGGACCAGCCACCTTCTCCATCCGGTGTTCGGTCACCCCGCCTCCTCCTGCCGGGGGTAATGTCCCCTCCATCCGTATTCCCCCCTGTACACTTCTGGGGGACAGGCATGAGGAGCTGTTTGACCTTCACGCGGTCTGCCAATTTCTCTCTCACATCTTCCCGGGCGTTACTGACTGCTTTTCCTTCAACTTTGCCGAGAACTCGACCATTCCGACTCCTCGCACAAAAGAGGAAGCTCTCTCGGGGCCTTATAAGGAGTGGAAGGCAGCAATGGATGTGGAGAACGAGGCGTTCATTCGCAACAATTGCTTTGACGATGTTGTTCCCCCTTACGGTGTCAACATCGTCGGCGGAAAATGGATCTTCCGAGTCAAACAACTCCCAGGCGAAGCTCCACTGTTCAAGGCACGATACGTGGCGAGGGGTTTCACCCAGAAGGAGTCTCTCGATTTCTTCGAAACATTCTCGCCCACGGCCAAGCTCCCGACTGTGTGCGCTCTTCTTGATACAGCCGCTCGCGGCAACTTCGAGATCAAGTTCATGGACGCCTCCTCCGCCTTTCTCCAAGGAACTACCTGGGGATGGAGATCACTCGTGGCCGCCAGGCTCCCAGAGTCCTACATCGGCAACCTTCTCAAGCGGTTCGACATGGTCTCCAGTAATTCTGTCTCCACTGCACTCCCACTACAGCATCAGCTCACGGCCCTTCCAGTTCCTTCTTCTGACGCCTGCAAAGACCCGTACCCTGAGCTCGTCAGTTCACTCATGTATGCTATGATGTGCACTCGACCAGACTTGGCTTACCCGGTTAGTGTCCTCTCTCGGTACGTCTCCCCCGGACGCTACACTACCTCGCATTGGTCTGTAGCCAAGAGGGTCCTCCGTTATCTACAAACCACCAAGTCTCACTTCCTCACTCTTGGGTCGTACCTCTCCAGTTTAGCTCGAGGGATACACAGACTCCTCATGGGCCGATGAGCAGACTGACAGACGCTCTTCCCAAGGGTACTGCTTCACCCTTGGTAGCGGAGTCATCAGCTGGCGCTCCACTCGATTCTCTGCAGTCTCCCTGTCGTCCTGCGAGGCCGAGCTCTACGCAGGCACAATGGCTGCTCAAGAGGCACGCTAGCTCTCTTTTCTCCTCACTGAGTTAGGCTACCCTCGGCAGTCGCCCACCCTGTGGTGTGACAACCAGAGTGCCATTCACCTCACCAAGGATCCAGTGTTCCACTCTCGCACCAAGCACATCGAACTTCGTCATTTCTTCATCCGAGAGCTTGTTCAGAGTGACCAGCTGACGGTACGGTACATCGCCGCAGATTGCAACCTCGCCCACCTCTTTACCAAAGCTCTCGGCAAGGCTGACCACCATCGCCTTCTCCGTTCCATGGGGCTATGTGCTCCTTGACCGGGTTTGCAGTCTATGGGGGTGTGTTAGAAATAGACTGCAAATACTACTTTTGTATTTGTACTTTTATATTCTAGTTTAGGTTGTGAATGTTTTAGTGGGTTGGGGTGTACTCACAAATCCCAACTTCACCCAATTGTGATCTCCCTAATCTCCAATTACCCAATTGAAGATTCCAGAGATTCCAATGGGGATTCCCTCTAATTCCCCCTTCATCCATTCACTCTCACCTTGCCATGTACATATAGAGCCTTGGGCTACTTACCTAATCAATCATTTTCAACTCTATTTCTTACAACGTGTTGTGCTCCGGGGCATACGGCATGGGAATACCACAGGCCAGTGGCGCTCCGCCTATGCTGAAGTTCCTAAGGGAGCACGTAAATGGTTGACTCCGAAGCAGGGCTTCTTTTTCACAGGTAACTCCCCGTATTTTGGCAAAATAACGGGTGAATTTTTTCGCTCCATCCGGATTCCGACGGGTGAATTTTCTCAAAACAAGGGTTGATTTCGGATTCGACGGGTAGCTTTTGTTTTGGCAGAACTGGCTGTGGAACCCAGATTTGATGGGTGACTTTTGACATCATAGGGTACTGAAACCGGATTTCGATGGGTAGCATTTGCCAGATAACCGTATCTGGCAGGTGCCCCAAAAGCCCAAAGTAAGCCCTGCTCCGAAGCGAACTACTTAGCGTTACACTCACCCCAGAAGTGCGTCGAACCACACGTAAATGGTCTGCTCCGGGGCATCAGGCACGGGAATGCCCCATGCCACTGCGGCCCGGCTTATGCTGAAGTCCCTCGCACCATCCGCCACCCATGCCAGCACCTAATGGTTAAGAGGGGAGAAAGATGACGCGACACTCAACAGCAAGACAGACACTGGAATTCGCCCATGCTACTCGGCCGCCCAGCTGAAGCTGAAGTCCCTCGCACCATCCGCCACCCACGCCAGCACCTGATTGGTCAATGGGAAGGGGAACGAGATGAACCATTGATGTGATGAGGACCCCTCCCACTTCCTCCCTTCATCTCCCACCGCACCCTGTTTGATGCTCGCCTGCACAAAACCCTGCCTGTTGTAAACCAGACACTTCGCCCATTTGTCCCCCCCCCAACCACCCCCCCCTCTTTCCCCCCTATTTCGACAAGCAAATGCCACTAATCCAAGCATAAGCACCCACTAGACATGATCAAAATGCGATTGTGGTTTAAACTGCATTGCACAGGGGCACGATTTAAAAAAGAGCAATGCGATTCAAAATCGCATCACGCGATTTCTATTTTCAAAAAAAAAAAAAAACGCACATCGCACTTCTTTAGCAATGATTATTTAAATCGCACGCGACGTTTATTTAAATCGCGCTATGGGATTAAAAATCGCATCGCAATTTACTTAAATTAAAAAACACCTCGGAATACCAGAAAAAAACAACACCGCTGGGAATTTGGATCACGGGCAATCTACTCCATAAAATAATATCGACCACCAAAAACCGTGAAGAATGGTGGGTTGATGAGACAAGGGGAGTGTGTGCTAAGCCCAAAAACGATTTCCCAAGGAGATTCTCCGAAAGAGAATTTCACAAATGCGTTTTTGGGCTTTGCGTTTTTTTCCCCTATGCATGCGAGATTTCGCAGCACGATGTATACATTGCGCGCGAAAAAATAAAATAAAATCGCAAATCGCAGTTTAATCGCGATTAAAAAACGATGTAAATTACATCGCGCAATAAATAAATCATCGCATAGCGTTTTTTTTTTTTTTTTTTGCAATCGCAAAAACGTGATTAAAAGCGATGCGATGCGATTTAATTTGCCCATGTCTAGCACCCACCCTCCCTCTACCCGCCCCCGCTCTCGGCTGCCCGAAGCCCGGCCTGTCCTGGAAGAGCCTCTCTAGGTCGTGCTGATGGGATGGGAGGAGACTTTGCACCTCTCCCCTCCCCTCCCCCCCCCTCAACCCCCTTTCTCCTTGCATCCCCCCCCTCACCTCGTTCTTCCTGAAGCTCGGCTGCACGAAGCCCGGCCTGTCCTGGAAAAGCCGCTCCAGGTCCTCTTGATGCGAGGAGAGGGCGAAGAAAAGGTTGTCCTCACTGCGGTGGTCGCAGGGCGTGAGATGGGTGGGGCATGTGGTGCCGTCCACCAGCTCCTTCTCGTCCTGGTGGGGAGGCATGGGAGTGGGGGGGAGAAAGAGGGCAGCATGAGGACGAAAGGGCCAAGAAGAGGCTATGCTCGCGGTGGTGGTCTCAGGGGGTCAGTCAGGTGAGTGGGACATGTGGTGCCGTCCACCAGCTCCTTCTCGCCCTGAAAAACAAAGAGGGAAGGGAGGAGGAGGGGGAAGGGAGGAGGAGGGGGAAGGGGATGGAGGTATTCGAAGGAGGAGAGGGCGAAGAAGAGGTGGTCCTCCTCGCAGGGGGTTAGGTGAGTGGGACAGGTGACACCCTCTAAGAGTTCCTTCTCGCCCTGATTGGAACAGAGGGCAGGAGCACAGGGACAGAGGGTGGCAGGGCAAGGGAGGAGAGTGCGAAGACGACGCTATGCTCGCGGCGGCGGTCGCAGGGGGTCAGTCAGGTGAGTGGGACACGTGGTCCCCTCGACCAGCTCCCTCTCGTCCCGGTGAGGAGGCATGGGAGAGGGGGCGAGAGAGAGGGCAGCAAGAGAAGGAGAGGGCGAAGCAGAGGCTGTCTTCGCTGCGTTGGTTGCATAGTGTGAGATGGATATACTCGTTAGAAGCATCTACTCGTTAGAAGCATCTATCTTACCTTATACTCCTCGCGCATCGCAGTATCGCCGCTCATACTGCGCCTGGTACACATCACCCTGCGCCTTCACTTCAAGCTCTCATAGAACAACCCCGTCTAGTACTCGATTTAAGCCCACTTACTACCATGTACTCGTTCCAGTTATATCTCTTACCTTATACTCCTCGCACGCAACGCAGTATCTTCCCTCGTACTGCGCCCGGTACACATCGCCCCGCGCCTTCACCCTCTCGTAGAACTGCCGCACGACGGCCTCATGGCGGGGCGACGTGGTGCGAATGAAGCGATCGTAGGCGATGTCCAGCTGAGAGACGGAAGGGGCAATAGGGGGGAAATATGGGGGAGGGGAGAAGATGGGTGGTGGGGGGGGGGGGGAAGAGAGAAGAGGGGAGGGAGGGGCGTGCCACAATCCATTCTCCTCTCGTAGAACTGCCGCCGCACGACAGCGTCGTGGCGGGGCGATGTGGTGCGGGTGAACTGATCGAAGGCATTTGTCCAGCTGAAAGGGACAGCGGGGGAGAGGGAGGATGGGGGAGCAGGTGGGCGACGAGATGGAGGGAGGGAGGGAGGGACGTACGGACGGAGGGAGGGTGGGAGCACTAGCCAATGAAGCAGTATCTCGAATCAATGACTTGAAGCAGTATCTCAGTGCTGCTGTGGCCTGAATTGATTCGGATTGATCTGCTCATGGCACACGCAGTCATGCATGCGTGGCTGCGTGGCAGTGCTGCTAGTTGGTCTGTCGTGTGTTGTAGAGGCGCCCTCGCTCCTGCGGCATCTATCGAGGCAGATCAATGCGTTCGCCCTGGCCCACAGAGCCTTACGCTGCTCACCATGATCCTCTGATCCTTGTAATCTGCAGCAACGGCATCGCAGTGCTCGTGCCACATAGTAAGGCACCTAGCCTCAAACAGCGCCTACATGCCCCACCTTGCCTCAAACAGTGCCTACATGCCTCACCTTGCCTCAAACAGCGCCTGCATGCCTCACCTTGCCTCAAACAGCGCCTGCATGCCTCACCTTGCCTCAAACAGCGCCTGCATGCCTCACCTTGCCTCAAACAGCGCCTGCATGCCTCACCTTGCTCCACAGCGTCTTGTACTCCACCACAGCCGCCACAGCATCGCGGTGCCGGGTGCTCCTGCGGGTTTGAATCGGAACTGAGTTCAGTTTTCTGAGATCTCGGCTTTTACACGGGCAATTTGTGTACTTAACTGTCAATCTTTTTGCTAAAAGTTTCGGTTACACTTCTGCTCCCTTCTATCATGGCTAAGAACACTCGGTGCCGGGTGCTCCTGCGGTGCGTGCAAAGCACCTACCCCCGTCTCAGAGCGACTAGACTGCCCACCTTGCTCCACAGTTGCTTGTACTCCTCAGCCACGGCGTCGCAGTGCTCCTGCGGCGTCCTGCCGCCTTTAGCTGCTGCCAGAGCGATCTTCTCGCCGTGCTCGTCCGTGCCCGTCACGAACGTCACCCTCCTGCCTTGCAGCCGCTGCAGTGCGTGCACACGGGAAAGGGGGAGGGGGAGGGGGAGGGGGAGGGGGGAGGAGGGGGAGGGGAGGGGGGGGGAGGGGGGAGGAGGAGGGGGAGGGGGAGGGGGAGGGGGAGGGGGAGGGGGAGGGGGAGGGGGAGGGGGGAGGGGAGGGGGAGGGGGAGGGGGAGGGGGAGGGGGGAGGGGAGGGGGAGGGGGAGGGGGAGGGGAGGGGGAGGGGGAGGGGGAGGGGAGGGGGAGGGGGAGGGGGGGGGAGGGGAGGGGGAGGGGGAGGGGGGAGGAGGAGGGGGAGGGGGAGGGGGAGGGGGAGGGGGGAGGAGGAGGGGGAGGGGGAGGGGGAGGGGGAGGGGGAGGAGGAGGGGGAGGGGGAGGGGGAGGGGGGAGGGGGAGGGGAGGGGGAGGGGGAGGGGGAGGAGGAGGGGGAGGGGGAGGGGAGGGGGAGGGGGAGGGGGGAGGAGGAGGGGGAGGGGAGGGGGAGGGGGAGGGGAGGGGGAGGAGGAGGGGGAGGGGGAGGGGGAGGGGGAGGGGGGAGGAGGAGGGGGAGGGGAGGGGGAGGGGGAGGGGGGAGGGGGAGGGGAGGGGGAGGGGGAGGGGGAGGGGGGAGGGAGGAGGGGGAGGGGGAGGGGGAGGGGGAGGGGAGGGGGAGGGGGGGGGAGGGGAGGGGGAGGGGGAGGGGGAGGGGGAGGGGGGAGGAGGAGGGGGAGGGGGAGGGGGAGGGGGAGGGGGAGGGGGAGGGGGAGGGGGAGGGGGAGGGGGAGGGGGAGGGGGAGGTGGAGGAGCGGACGAGGGATTAGAAGTATGCTGTTGGCTGCTGCCAGTGCGTTCTTCTCCCCCGGCCCGGCTAGCCCGTGCCTGTGACAAATGGCACCTTCTTACTTTGCAGGCAGTGGGGGAGGGGAGCACAGGAAGAGCGGGGGAGGATATTCAAATGTGCCAGACAGACCGTGCCAGCCAGCGCGAGCTATCATCTCCCCATGCTCGTCCGTGCCTGTAACGAACGCTGATGAGGAAGAGAGGGGGGGGGGGGGGAGGGAAGAAGCAGCGGGGAGGCATTCGGTATGTGCTGGATGTGCCAGCGCTATCAGCTCGGGCAGTTTGGATGGGATGGCATGGCATGGCATGGGATGACATGGGATGGCATGGGGTGGCATGGGTTGGGTTTGGGGTGGCATGGGATGGCATGGGATGGCATGGGGTGGCATGGGTTGGGTTTGGGGTGGCATGAGGATGGGTTGGGGAGACGGGTCCTATGCTCGTCCGTGCCTGTAACGGGCGTGACAACCTTGGTGCTTCGAGAAGGGGGGAAGGCGGGTGTGTTCCGCACCGCACGCACCTGGAAGCGCGCCAGTGCGTCAGCCGCGATAGTGGGGTACGCGGACCCCATGTGCGGCACCTGGGGGGATGCGGGCGAGTCTCACCTGCCACCAGCTAAGCAAACTCATCAGGACTGCGAGAGTGCGTCAGCGGCGGGGGTGGGGTTCGAGACGGTGGACCCCATGTGCGGCGCCTGGGGGGTTGGGGATTAGGCTCACCCGCTACGGGGGTAAGCAGACCCGTGCCCCTAGACTCTCCCCATTCCCTCCCCATCCTCTAACTCCCTCACTCACCTGGAACCGCGCTAGTGCATCAGCGGCTATGGTGGGGTAAGCGGACCCCATGTGCGGCGCCGCGTTCACATAGTACAGCGGCGTCGTCACCACGAACCGCTCGCCCGCGCCGCCCTGCTCCTCCCCCCCGCCGCCGCCGCCGGTCGCGCCGCATCGCGCGGCTACCGCGCGCCTCGCGACGCGCGACGCGGATCGGGTTCCTCCGAGTCGCGAGGAGAGCGCGATAGGACGATAGTGGGCAGGGAGAGTGAGGTAATGAGGAGTGTTGTGCGGTGGGGTGAAGGGCGAGCTCAAACACGAGGTTGCTACACGTGGCTTCGAGGATGCTTCGTGCGGATGGGTGGAAGGGACTAAGGAGCGATCAAGAGAGGGAGAAAGAGCGGCGCGTGAAAGCGAACTAATCATTGTAGCGGGAGCCGTGGCGGCTGGTGCGGCGGTGATTGCGGGGATTGCTGCTGCTAGAGCCGGCGCAATGTAGCTTCGGCTGACGAGGTCCGGCGAGGGAGAGGTGAGGAGGCAGCGCGCGGAAAGGCGCTTCGACGTTCGGAAACTGGGCTCGACGAACGCGTTGATCGCGAAAGCGTTATTCGCGAGGGGGCTATGTGGCGAAGCAAGAGCCCTGAGAAGCGGCAACGAGGCGCGCATCGACCGATAGGCGCGACGCGATGAATGCGGAGAGGCCGTGCACTACGCCGCTAGCGATACAGCGAGCAAAGGAGCTCTCCCGCTCGTTTTGCGGAATCTGATGATTTTCCGGACCTACTGACCAACTGACTATTGCACCAGTCGCGTACTATTGCATTCCACTCTCGTATCGCCGAGGCTCCTCCTGGCGCGTCAGGATCTCGACCCGATCTCGAGATCGCTGGGCACGGCCACTACCGACTGTGGCGGCTTTTTAGACGTGACTACCGACGCTGACGTGGAACAGCCGCAGTGGAATTCGTGGCCTCTGCGAAAACCAGAAGCATGATATCCTCGTTTGAAGAATACGCGGCAGCCTGGAAAAGGCTCCAGGCTGGAGTTTTCAGTACAGCGCTCACACTCGCAAAAATGGTAACGGTCCGTTTGAACAGCCAGTCCTCTGTGCGAGTAACTCAGCTAGTTACCGCTCGCTGCATTTTTTCGTCAGCTCGTCAATCTCGTGTACCAGATCCAGCGGGCCTGGCTCGAGGAGAATTCAAGGTGTCGACAGGAAGCCATCGGACAGTTCAGGCAGACTAGATCTTAGGGCGGGTTCCTGGGCCTGGACACAAGGAAAAGTTTAGCCATGCGACTCGAAATGTAGGAAAATGCATTACCAATGTTTGGCGATGCGCCTCGGGGTTTGGCCAGCCAAAACCAGATGGTCCGGAATCCTGCGACCCTGGCGCACGACCAAACGCGACCGCAGATGCTGTCAGGTTTTGCCAGGTTGACGACCTATTTTGACAAACTCAACGGGATACTGCCCGCAAACAACCATCTCCGTACAGACTTGATTGACTGGGTTGGGTGTATGATTCAGCTGAGCTGCCCGACACTTGTCGCAGGCGGTGACGACTCCCTCCATGTTTCGTTTGGCAAATCGCGAGGGTCTTGACCAAGCTTCCTGATTTGACACGATCGGAGTCTGTTCGCATTTGATCGTATAGCGCTCGCATCAACGGTCGCCGGTTGGTTGGGTTTGATGTTGGCCAAAGTGGGGCAGACCCCAACTTTTCCCATGTGTAGACCCCAAAACCGAATCGCATGGCTAAACTTTCCTGGCGTCCAAGTCCAGGAACGCGCTCTGAGCTTTGTCCCGCGCCTCTTAGCCATTTGCTCCTTCTGCTCGCTGCCTCTTTCTTTCCTCGTTGCGTCTCTTGCTCCATGAATTTATCTCTCCTGCCTTCTTCCTTCAGCCGTCCACCTCCTCGGCAGCACGCCGCACGCGCCTGTGCCATTTGAGGCTGTAAATCTGAAGGCTAGAAAGCCGTTTCCGCGCGCTACTCCGCGAGATATCGAGGCACGTCGCAATTCGCGACTCGCGCGAGGCGTGACGAAGCGTACGCGTGTCAGCATCGTCGTCATCATGGGTTGGTACACGTCGCTCATCGTGTTGGTCGTCGCGGTCGCCGTGGCGGCCGTCCTCACTCCCAACTCCATGGTGCGTTCCTCATCCCCTCCGGTATGCCTCGTGCCGTTCGACTCGACTCCCCTTTTGAGTCGACTCAAAGCACGTCGCTCATCGTGCTGGTTGTCGCCCCGTCGCCGTCGCCGTCGCCGTGGCGGCCGTTCTCACTCCGTCCAATATGGACCGTGTCGCGTCTCACTCCTCACGCCATGGTAAGTGCCTTTAAAGTCGACTCGCCTTTTGAGTCGATTCGCCTTTCGAGTCGACTCGCCTTTAGAGTCGACTCAGAACATGTCGCTCGTAGTCGCGGTTGGCGTGGCTACCGTCCTCATTCCTCCTGACGCCATGACGCGGCCCGCATGTGAGGAGCCACACGCCATGGCACGCGGCCCGCATGTGAGGAGCCACACGCCATGACGCGGCCCGCATGTGAGGAGCCACACGCCATGACGCGGCCCGCATGTGAGGAGCCACACGCCATGACGCGACCCGCATGTGAGGAGCCACACGCCATGGCACGGAACGGAATGGGGACGGCCGCCGCTCACTCCTCACATGATGGTGTGTGCCACGCCACGAGCCCTCGTGCTTGTAAGCGATCATTGGAGGGTTTCGCTCAACAAATCACTTCTTACGCCTTTGATCTGGGCATCCAGCTCCTCCCTCCCCACCTCAAGCAGGTTCTTCGCCACCATGGCCCTTCTGAGGTTAGCACAACGCAACATCGCCTAGCTCGCGAGGTTGACTGGACCCGTCCTTTCCCTCCAAGGATCAGCTTGCCGGGCAAGCGCCTCTCCCTGCTAGCACTTCCTGCTTCTCCTTCACTCACATGCGATTTCGCTTCACTCACATGCGATTTCGCTTCACCCACATGCGATTTCGCTTCACTCACATGCGATTTCGCTGCACTCACATGCGATTTCGCTTCACCCACATGCGATCTCGCTTCACTCACATGCGATTTCGCTTCACTCACATGCGATCTCGCTTCACCCACATGCGATTTCGCTTCACCCACATGCGATTTCGCTTCACTCACATGCGATTTCGCTTCACCCACATGCGATTTCGCTTCACCCACATGCGATTTCGCTTCACTCACATGCGATTTCGCTTCACTCACATGCGATTTCGCTTCACCCGCATGCGATTTCGCTTCACCCACATGCGATTTCGCTTCACCCACATGCGATTTCGCTTCTCTCACATGCGATTTCGCTTCACCCACATGCGATTTCGCTTCACTCACATGCGATTTCGCTTCACCCACATGCCATTTCGCTTCACTCACACGCGATTTCGCTTCACTCACATGCGATTTCGCTTCACCCACATGCGATTTCGCTTCACTCACATACGCTTTCGCTTCTCTCACATGCGATTTCGCTTCACTCACATGCGATTTCGCTTCACCCACATGCGATTTCGCTTCACCCACATGCGATTTCGCTTCACTCACATGCGATTTCGCTTCACTCACATGCGATTTCGCTTCACTCACATGGGATTTTCGCTTCACCCACATGCGATTTCGCTTCACTCACATGCGATTTCGCTTCATCCACATGCGATTTCGCTTCACTCACATGCGATTTCGCTTCACTCACATGCGATTTCGCTTCACCCACATGCGATTTCGCTTCAGTCACATGCGACTTCGCTTCACTCACATGCGATTTCGCTTCACCCACATACTCTTTCGCTTCTCTCACATGCGATTTCGCTTCACTCACATGCGATTTCGCTTCACCCGCATGCGATTTTGCTTCACCCACATGCGATTTCACTTCACTCACATGCGATTTCGCTTCACTCACATGCGATTTCGCTTCACCCACATGCGATTTCGCTTCACTCACATGCGATTTCGCTTCACCCACATGCGATCTCGCTTCACTCACATGCGATTTCGCTTCACTCACATGCGATCTCGCTTCACCCACATGCGATTTCGCTTCACCCACATGCGATTTCGCTTCACGCACATGCGTTTCGGCTTTACTCTGCCCTCTCTTCCACTTGCTTCCCTCCAACCCTTGGCCTCTTTCTCTTCCACATCCCCCGTGCTCCGTCTCCCATCACCTCACGTCTCTCCTTTATCTTCCCTTCCCCCTTTTTCGATCCCTACATCTGCCCCTTCCTCTTCGCAACCCTCCCCCTGCCGTACAGCAGCAGGCCCGCTGACGCTTCCCCCTTAACGCCCACGGCAGGAGCGGCGTTGCCCTTTGTGCCTTTTGAGTCGACTCAAAAGTCACCTCGTGTTGGTGCCGTTTCTGTATTCTGCTTCCTGCCCTCCCCCCTACCTTTCCACGCGCCATACAGCACCAATACCACTGACGCCTCCCCTGATACGCCCACGGCAGGGGCGGCACTGCGCCTTGTGCGCCTTACTGGCGCTGGGGCGTCTGTGTGGGTCATCTTCTCCTCCCTTCCCTTCTTGCTGGGTGTCTTTGAGAACTCTCAGGGTGTCTGTCAGAATTCTCAAAAACACCCTACTGGCGCTAGGGGTGTCTGTGTGGATGATCTTCTCCTCCCTTCCCTTCTCCCCTTTCCTCCCTCACCTGCCATACAGCAGCCAGACCGCTGGTGGCTCGCCTCTGCCTCCACCCACTGGCGCTGCGGTTTGTGCAGTGGTGTGCTTCACAGTGGCACTGATCGATGCCCTCCTTCCTTCCTTTCTTCCCCCGTCTCGCTGCCAGCTGCCATACGGTGCCAAGCCCACTGACGCCACCCCCCTAACGCCCTCGGCAGGAGCGGCGCTGCGCTTTGTGCACGTGCTGTGCTCCTCGGTGGCGACGGGGGCGTCTGTGTGGGTCACGTTCTTTGCTGGCGTCATCATGTTTCGGTGAGATGACATGCATGATATGGAGGGATGAGTCACATGTTGAGGTGGGATCATATGCAAGGGAGGTGATAGGTAGGTCGCTCAAACGGATGGTCATTGTGTGAAGAGCGTCTGTGTGGGTCACCTTTTTTGCTGGCGTCATCATGTTCCGGTTAGATGATGGTGAGGTGAGATGATACGCATGGTGAGGTGAGATGATATGTATGGTGAGGTGAGATGATACGTATGGTGAGGTGAGATGATATGTATGGTGAGGTGAGATGAAACTCATGGTGAGCTGTGGTGAAACTCATGGTGAGCTGAGATGATACGCATGGCGAGGTGACTTGTCATGAGCGTTGAGGAGAGATGCCACACGCTGTTTTAAGTGAGAGACCTTCTAGTGAGATGACATACACTGTACAGTGAGATGGTAAACAACTGACATTTGTGCTTCCTTATGTCTAAGCCCTTGTATCAGGGGGCGAAGCAATGGCGTTCTCACACTGCAGATTCCACGCACATTTGATTCGCCTTACCACAGTTGATTTGCGCACTTGAAATTGTCTCTGGCTTTGATCGTCTCCCTACCCCTTTCCTCCTCCAGCTCTGAGTCATTTCGTCCTTACCTATGTTGGAAAAAACGCACATTTGTGTTTGCGTATTGCGTTTAAACGCACCAAAAATACATACGCTGCGTTTTAGGTGTAGATTTGCCATAAAACGCACGGGCTTACCGGAGAAAAAAAACCCCAAAATCTCAGCGACAGTTCGCAACTAGGCGAAAAGAAAATTGGGTTTCGTCCATCGCAAACTCTATTTTTTAGTTCGAATTTCGAACTCGAAGTGCGCCAACTCCCCCTCCCAACTGCTAACCACCACCCTCCACCCCGTGGCTTCCTTTTCTCTCCCAACCCATCGTCGAAACGAGTTTGTCACAACCAGAGTCAGCTCTCCTAGCAATTATTCGGCCCATTCCCGCATCCGAAACTCACTCTCAGCTCCCTTCCTCCTAGCTTTCACTCCACCATGACATCCACTCCTAAAACAACGCCCCCTTTGCCCGCCTGTCTGGGAATTTTATTAACCTGCCCGAGCCTCCGTTTTCTGTGCGTACCAGACCCCCCCCCCCCCCCCCCCCCCCCCATACGCAAGCGTACAAAACGCGAATACGTTTCTTCCAACATAGTTGTTTACTCGTGACCCTGCAGCATCCAGGGTCGGCTCTTCCCCGCCTACTTCTTCCTCGTGACCCTGACAGGCCTCTCACCTCTGCCTTTGCTGCTTTCTCCCCCTTCCCCCGCCCCCGCCCCCCGTGTTTCTGTTCCCTTGAGCACCTCCACCAGCCACTTGCCCTGGCACACGTTTGGCATCATCCAGGGCCGTCTCTTCACCCCCTACTTCCGTTCCGTGTCCCTCACCTCTGTCCTCCTACCCCCCACTGCTTCCACCCCCCCACCCCTCCCCTCTCCGCCCCCTTCTTCCGTCCTCTCCCCCCTGCTGAACCAGCCACTTGCCCCGCCACACCTTTGGCAGGATCCAGGGCCGCCTCTTCCCTGCTTACTTCCGCCTCGTCGCCCTCACCTCTGCCCTGGCCGCCCTTGCGCTCAAGCTCAGGCTGAGTTGGGCTGCTTCTGGTGCTGCTGAAGCAGCGGGGGCCCTGCAGCACGTGCAGCTGCTGCTGCTGCTCGCGGCTCTTTCTGGCGCGCTGCTGAACCTGCTGCTCCTGGAGCCAATCACCACCAAGGTCAGTACGGTTGATTTAGGTGACTAGAGCGCGACACTGCTGCTGCTGCTGCTTTCATGTGCTGCTGCTCGCTGCTCTTCCTGGGGCGCTGCTGAATCTGCTGCCCCTGGAACCGATCACCACCAAGGAGAGGAAAGAGAGCCAATCCGCTGTTCCTGGATTCACATCACAGCTGTGAGCAATCTAAGCTGTGCGCAGGCTATAACCAGCTAGGCAGGTGAAAGGTGTGACAGGTGGGAGTGAGGTGGACGGATAGCCTCTACATATGGTGCTGTGAAACAGGCGGCGCCCAAAACTACGTGTGAGGCATGAGTGGGCTGAAAGCTCAACTTTGCATTCATAGCATATCATCGTCTACTCCCCATGTTCTCCCCACTCCCTGTGTTCTTCCCACCCCCTGTGCTCTCCCAAGCCCTCATGTTCTTCCTTCCCCTTGTTACCGCAGCAGGCGACAAGGGGGAGGCACTGCATTGAGGAGGAGGCGGGGATCGGAGAGGAGGTGCGAGTTAGTTGATAGGCCAGCCCGCTTTCCATGGCGGGTGCCTTTCCGCCCTCCCCTCTGTTCTTTCCCCCCCCGTGTTCTCCCCCCCCCCCATGTTCTTGCCACTGCAGATAATGCAGGAGAGGCACCGCATAGAGAAGGAGGCGGGGATCGGGGAGGAGGTGGGGCTGTCTCGCAACAGGGAGGTGGCGCGGACCAATAAGGAGCTGGCAGCTGTCAACCGCCGGTTCGGAATGTGGCACGGCATGTCATCGCTGTCCAACCTGGTTGCCCTCTGCTCGTTGGGTGCTCATGCGTGGTTCCTCTCCCAGCAGCTCCCCATCTAGTGCCCTAGTAAGAAGCTGACAGCTGTCAGTCGCTGGTTTGGCATGTGGCATGCCAGGCACGGCATGTCGTCCCTATCCAACCGCGTTGCCCCCTGCTCTCTTGGCGCTCATGCATGTTTTCTGTCACAGTAGCTCTCCAATTAGCTGGTATAGAGGTGCCTCATAACAAGGCCAATGGCCACCGTCAACATGCTTGGTTCCTGACACACATCCGGGTGTCCGTCCAGCTTCTAGCTGCTGTGTGTCAGCAAACATATATATATGTTGGAAATACCTGGAGGACTTGAGCGTTTCTGAAATGTAACATTACACTCGAGGAAAGGCGTATCGAGTACGTGAGTCAACGGAGGTTACGTACACGAGTCAACGGAGGTTACACGAGGAGGTTGGACGAAAGAATACGAAAGGACGAAGGGACTCGAAGGGTCGCAACCGGAGGTTGCGATTGACCGTTGCGACTGCTAAGGTGGTAACCGAACCGACAATCGAGTCGCTGTGTGACTCGATAATTGTTCCTTCAACTGTATTCTACAACTGCTTCATTCCTTATTTTCTATATATTGCTGTATGCTTGTTTCTTTTAGTCAATCACTTGCTCTTGTCAATTTATACATATGCTGTATGTAGAAGTTATAGGTTAGCCTAGGTTTATGCTTCTAGTGAGTACAACCCCAACAGGTATATGTTCTAGGTTTCTCACACTAGTAACTCATTCTTGCATTCTAACATGGTATCACGAGTAAGTTAGGTCCACCCGCCGTGGGCCCCAACCCCCACGGCCTCCACCACGACTACCGCCCCCAGGGCCCGCCGGCCCCCAAGACTTCTGCGGCTGCTGCTGCTGCTGCTGTGCATTCCCCGACTCCGACTGACCACCCTCACCGTTCGCACCCTCACCCCCTCCACCCGCTGCTGCCGACCCCTCACGACCCTTGCCCCCTTTGCCCTTGCCCTTGCCGCGAGATGAGCGGCCGGGGGCAGAGGTAGCCGCTGCTGTCTCAAATACAGAGGCGGAGGCAGGGACTGTCAATGGGGAGGGAGCGCTGCCCTGAAAGATAGGGACCGCCGGCGCGCCAGTGGAACCGGCGATAGCACGGAGGCGTTCCTCTATCTCAGTCAGGGAGGTGGAGAAGAGGTCAATGGTGAGCTCAGAGGGGTGACGAGCAAGGAGCGCGTCACGGGCAGGGGGTAGGCGGTCACGGAGGCGGGTGACAAGGAAGTAGACAGTGGCGAAGAGGGGGGGGGGGGGGCGAGCGCTAGCTGGGCCTCAGTACAGGCCGCACGCCAGCGAGCCTCGAGAGAACGTAGGTGCTTGACTAAGTCTGCTACAGTGGTGAACGACGTCAGGTCAGGGTGGAAAAAATGGAGGAGGAGGCGACCAAGAGTGGCAGATGACGGGGTGGAGTACCTAGCTAGGATAGCCAGCCAGAGGGCGCGGGCTGATGCAGCACCCACAAAGTGGGAGTGCTCGGCAACCGGCAGGCACCTGTGGATGGCGACTCGAGCAGTGACGCCGCGAAACGCCCAGATAGATTAGGCACAGCCTGCTGCTCAGACGTCACGTCATGAGCAGGAGCGCCCGGGTGAGGGATAGTGGGGAGCTCACCAGAGACGTGGGCGTCCAAAGACTCGTCGTCGATGCGCTGACTCATGAGCTGAAGGAGAACTGCCTCCTGCCAGGCGGCGAAACCGACTGCCCGCCCCTCCCCATCCAGGCGCAGAACGAAGACGCCGGGCGACACCATGCTGGCAGCTGCGGCCGGAAAGACAGTGGCGGCAGAAGCAGGAACAGTTGGGGCGGATGCTACAGGAGCGGGTGGCAGCGAGGGCGGTTAGCTAGCAGCGAGGTGAGGTTGGCAGCAGGCCAGCAGTGAGCTAGCTAGCGGAGGCGGCTACGTGGGTATGGGCGAGCCGCGGCAGTGGTGGCAGCAGCGGCTGCAGTGGCAGTGTGGGTTGCAGCGGCAGGGGCAGCTGCAGGGGGCAGCGTGGTAGCTGCAAGGGCAGTAGCGGCAGTAGCAGCGGCTGCAGTGGCGGCTGCAAGGGAAGCGGCGGCAGTGGCAGTGGCGGCTGTGGCAGTGGTAGCAGCGGCAGCTAAAGCGGCTGCAGCGGCAGTGGCAACAGTAGCTGCAACAGTGGCTGCGGCGGCGGTGCAAGTGGCTGCAGCGGCAGAGCAAGCTGCAGCAGTGGCAGAGGCAATGGCTGCAGCGGAGAGGCGCCGCTGGCAGTGGCAGCTGGCGGGCAGTGGAGTCAGTTGGCGCTGTTGACTAGTGCGGGTAAGCGGCGGGCGGGCGCTGGCGAGCTGGTGCTGGCGGCTAGCAGCTGGCGAGCTGGCGGCTAGCAGCTGGCGGCTAGTAGCTGGCGAGCTGGCGTTGGCGGCTAGCAGCTGGCGGCTAGCAGTTGGCGCGCTGGCGGCTAGCAGTTGGCGAGCTGGCGCTGGCTGGTAGCAGCTGGCGAGCTGGCGCTGGCGGCTAGCAGCTGGCGAGCTGGCGGCTAGCAGCTGGTGGCTAGGAGCTGGCGAGCTGGCGCTGGCGGCTAGCAGCTGGCGAGCTGGCTCTGGCGGCTGGCAGCTGGCGAGCTGGCGCTGGCGGCTAGCAGCTGGCGAGCTAGCGCTGGCTAGCTGGCTGGTGCTTGCGAATGCTTGCTGGCGCTGGCGTGCTGGCGCTGGCGAGCTGGCGCTGGCGGCTAGCAGCTAGCTGGCACGAGCTAGGGGCTGGCTAGCTGGCGCTGGCGGCAAACTGCTGGCAGGGGCTAGCGAGCTAATGCTGGCGAGCTGGCGCTGGCGAGCTGGTGCTGGCTAACGAAGGTGAGCTGGCGCTGGCGAGCTGGCGGGCTCGCTGGCGCTGGCGTCAGGGACGAGCTACGATCGAGCGGGGGGGGGGGGGGGAGGGATCGGCGACTAACGAAGGCGCCAATGTGGTGCGGGCTAGCAGCGGCTGGCGCTGGTCGGCACTAGCTGGTGGCGGCTGGCGCTAGCCGACGCGAGCTACGCGACGAGCAGAGGAGGGCGGGGAGGGGACGATCTACGAGGTGCGCAACTAGGGGCGAGGCGCGCTAGGCTAGGGTGTGCTAGGGCGGAAGCGTGAGTAGAGGGCGAGACCTAGCTCAAGATGCCATGTTAGAATGTCGAGAGGAAGTTCACTAAGGGAGGAAGGCTGAGGGTTACAAAGGTGGGAATGTACCCTCTAAGAACTGACCTAACTAAGGCTATAACAAATATACTGTACCTAGCATAGACAATTATACTTGTTGACAGCGCAGACCGGTCAAGTTACGCGTGTCGCAAACATTTCGATGTTCTTTCGCCAATTTTCTTTGGGCAAAAAATAGCCAAAACCGCAATCGGATCTGCCATGTGCAACCCTAGGATCCACGCCCTTGGCCCCCTCCGCCAGTCACGCTAGGGCCACACAATCACTCGTGCCTCAATTGCACCAGCCAAGCGTTAACCTCCTTAGTGAAAGTCAGCGCTTAATTGCTAAAGGACCAGTAAAAATCTACATCAGCTATATTTGTATAAGTAACACTGAACGATCGGGGATTTTGTTTTTTGTAACGCTGAATTTTCAGGCCATTTTTTGATGGGCAAGGCTCAAGAATCAGCCTAAAATTGGGGGGCGAGGATGATGAATCAGCGTACCCTAAAATGAATCTTAGGGCCTGCTTCAGGCATCATGTCCTCAAGGGCATCCATTATCCATATCTGCTAAAACTGCTGCTTACAGCGGCAGCGTGCGCTCTGTGATAGGACAGGCTGTTGTCTGGCCCCCAGCTCTCCACCTCTCCTCATCTGCATCTGTTCTCCTTGGCTTCAGCCATGAGGGCCTCTAGGGCATCCACGTCCGCTGGAACTGCTGCTGTGAGGTTCTGAGGGATCAGCAATGTAGAGAGTAAATGCAGGTCAGGGTTTCATTCATAAGCACGCCTTGTAGTCATGCTTACCTCATGTCCACCACCATGCTCATTACCATGCCCGTTACAACGGGCATCACTATGCCCATCACCATGCTCACCTCATGCCATCAGCCTCCATCAGAATGTCATCCTCCATGCGCATGCCAATGCGCAACCCAATGTGCAACCCAATGCACACCCCTATGCTTCCTGCCAGGCACACTCCTATGCCCCTACTGTTCCTTCACACAGCAACCAAGCCAGCATCACACTCACCTCATGCCCATCTGGAGTAATCAGAATGTCGTCCTCTATGCGCAACCCAAAGCTCTCAATACTCCCTCTGCACCCGATATCCCCATCACACCACCTCATGTGTGACTGCTCACCTCGTTGCCATCAGCCGTGATCAGAATGTCATCCTCTATGCGCACCCCAATGCCCCGCAGGCTGCAAACGGGAAAGGGAGGGGGGCAGAGAGCGGACGAGGGGAGACAAACGGGAAATGAGCGGTGGGGTGGGGACTAACAATCGTTCTCTGTGCACACTGTGATGCGCCGCAGGCCGAGGAGGAAAGAGCTGGTGTCACCCTGGTGGGGGGGGGAGAGGGGGGGCCAAAGAAGGGAAGAGCGCGGACAATTGGGAGATTGAGTGGTGCAGTGGGATTAAGAATGACATCCTCTGTGCGACCTGTGTGCCCCGCAGGCTGAGAGATAGGGACAAGGGGGAGGAGTTAAAAGAGATGAAAGGGGAAGCGTGGGGAGGAGCAGTATTGCAGTGGGCTTGAATGTGCCACCCTGTATGCGCAGTGCGCACCCCTATGCCCCGCAGGCGGAGTGAGGGAGGAAAGGGAGAGGAGCTGAGATGGAGGGGGAAGCGTGGGGGAACAAAAGGGGAAAAGGGGGGTGGGAGTCAGGGTGGGTGGGGTGGGGGCGAGGGCACAGTTGGAGCGCTGTGGGGACAAAACAACAAGGACAACGTTGGGCACCTTGTAACGCTGGGCACTTACCTCCAGGCAACTCAATGCTGGGCACTTACCTCCACTACCAAACAGCCAAAAAGTGCTTGGCGGAGTGGAGGAAAAGTGCCCGGCGTTACCAAATGTTACTAGAGGGTTTACTGACATGCCGGTTTAGAAAGTGGTCAACTCGGGGTGATGGGGTGATGGGGTGAGTAGAATCTCACTGCTTTGGAACTTGTTCAATGTCTGGGAGATAAAGCCCGGGCTCGATTGTGAGCACCTGTGAATGCGGGTTCACACAACGGGAAATGAATGGAGAGAGGGGGAATAGGTGCAAATTAAAAAGTGTTATTTACCCGCCTGATATTTGAAGCCAGGGTAATACCTGGTGCAAGGGAGAGTGGGTAGGTGTGATCTAGTATGTTACATGATCCAGGATGAGGAGTGCTGGCTTGCTACATGCGATTGTCCGTAGGTAACCAAGGTGCAATAAAACGGCGTTTTTACCTATTTCTTACCGTATAAAACGGAATCGTATAAAACAGTCGTTTAATACAACCGGAACGGTCGAAAGTGGTGTTTTGCGACTGGGGCAAAAAAACGGCCGTTTTATACGGTCGTTTTTTCTTTACCGTTGTAAAAGACAGTGGTTCGCTTTATATCGAACCACGAACAGGTGGAGTGTGCAAGACTCGTTTGCCAAATCGGACGTTGGGTTTTTGGCTGAGTAGAGGAGGAGGACGACTAGGGCGAGGAGGAGGACGACTATTAATACGAGGGGTAGAGCCGGAGTAGGAGAACTAGGAGGGTGAAGGGAGGACTAGCCACTAGACAAGACCGAGAAGGACAATGAAAGGAGGTCTAGGAGGATGTGGATGGTGTTTTAGATGCATGTAGGCTGTCGCCGCCACCAAGCCCTCTATTTCCCCGCGTTTCTGAGAAGTTAAAGAAAACACTCTAACAAAAAAAAGGCAGAATTTACACTAATCTGCCGCATAAAACGACCATATAAAACGGATCGTTTAATCCGGAAACCGTTTTTTTGCACCTTGTAGGTAACTGAGTAGCTGCCAGAATTAGCCGCATATGTCAGTGGAAGGCACATGCTCTGTCTGTCTGCAATTGATGAGAATGGAAGACCCGAACCTCCTTTGGTAACTAGACTGAATATCTCCGTGGCTTTTGAGTTGACTCAAAAGTCACCTCTCGTGCACTCAGGAATGGAAGATCCGAGACCCCATTAGTAACTGGACGGAATACCCGTTCAGTTGACCGTGAGTTGGGTGGGCCATAATTAAGCGTAGCGAAGTTTTAGAATTCTTGAGAACTCCACATGGCGGCATGATCAGAGAGTGATAGCTGGTTAACCCACCACATCACATCACACCCCACCATATGCATGCACGGGGTGATGGCTTCAGGGACTTGAAGTAAAAGATATACCATGTGACTATGCAGAGCATCACAGCACAGCACAGCACATCACAGCACATCACAGCACATCACAGCAAATCACAGCACATCACAGCACATCACAGCACATCACAGCACATCACAGCATGCGAAAGGAGTGATGGCTAGTGTGACGATGCAGAGCATGCTGCTGCTGCTCCATGCCATGGCATGTTCACACTAGCATACCGGCCACTTCATAGCAGATATATCATAAAAGAAAAGCTAGTCCCAAGTCTCAAGTGTAAGTCTTATGTTTCAGCGGTTGCAATGTGGAAAACGACAACCTGTCATGTGTATCAAGCCCCAACCAGTGGTCTCCCTTGCATGCATGCCACCACCCATGCCACCACCCACGCCACCACCCATCCCACCACCCATCCCACCATCGACGCCACCATGCACGCATGCCGAGCCACTACCCATGCACGCAACACCAGCCAGTCCCAAGTCTCACCACGCCTGGTTTCAGCGGTTGCAGTGCGGAAACCGACGCACTGTCATGCGTGTCCAACCCCAACCAGTGACCTGCCATGCCACGAGCACGGTGAACCAGCATGGAAGACAAGCAGAGCAGAGGCGATAGTCGTGATGGTCCATTTAGAATACTAAGTTTATTTAAAATTCTCGAAACCCTATCACAGCCCAACCAATGGTTTGCCATGCCATACCATATTACCATGCAGCGAGCCAGCACAGAAGTTAAGTAAAGGCGACAGTTGGCAACATCAGCAGACAGCTATTTTACCAAGAATGACACCAGCAATGCACGTGTGCTATATCGACAATGTTACAACGGTACCACAAGTACCGCACGCGCACCATTCAATGAGCTCTCAGCCGTCTCACTCACCAACAGACGTGGGGTAGAACTGTCGAAATGCCCCTCGTGCCGCCTGCTGTGCTGAGCCTGTGCACACTCCTAGCTGCACTAGCGCGGACGAGAGCGCAATGACCTGGTGGCAGGGGTACAAGGGAGGCGGGAGGGAAAGGGGCCTTAGAAAAGGGAGTGACCCAAGCCAACTGTTGCACTGAGCCTCCTAGTTCCATTAGGGAGGATGAGAGCGCAAAGAATTGATGGCAAACGGAGAAGGATGGTAGGAAAGGGAGCCCGATAAAAGGAGTGATCCAAGGATCACGAGGTGACTTTTGAGTCGACTCAAAAGTCACCCCGATAAAAGGAGTGACCCAAGGATCACCTCGAGCCAACTGCTGTGCCGAGCCTGTGCACACGCCTAGCAGCAGCAAGGCGGATGAGAGCGCCATGATCAGGTGGCAGGCGGAGTACACGGGAGGCGGGAAGGAAAGGGGGCCTTTAACAAGGAATGGCCCACGGATCCCCTCAAGGCAATTGCTGCACTGAGCCTGTGCACATGCCTAGCTGCACTAAAGCCACAGAGTGAGGGGACCTGCTCTTGCCCCACTGAGCCTGTGCACACGCCTAGCTGCGCTAAAGCCGTGCAGAGAGCAACGACCTGGCTGGGGTAATGGGGAGGAGGGGAGGGACGCGAAGGAGCGTTGAGAGTGGATGGCGTAACTTGTCCCCTCAAGTAGCACATGTGCCACTTGATGCACTGAGCCTGTGCACACGCCTAGCTGCACCAAGGGCAGACCAAAGGGAATCTCCTGGTCACAGGAGGATGAGATGGATCATGGAAGGTGCCAGTTGATTCAACGAGCGGTGAGATGGTGAGATGCAGTGTAGTGGGATGAAGTGCGGTGACGTGGCATGAATGGGAGTGAAAACAGAACAGAGTGGAGGGGAGAGGAGAGGAACGGAGGAAAAGGAGAGCGGGAAGAAACCTGGCCATTATTGCATGGCATCCACGTGGATTGCATTCCTCTCATCCCACCCACCCACCCACCCACACCCACCCACCACCAGGAGCTTTGTGCTAATAATCGAGTTTTGACTTGAGACGCCTCAAAACGCACATCCCATCACCACCACCACCAAGTGCGTAGTGCTGCTGGAGGACATCCCTCAGCGCTGCTCTCGGTTCGCACACCACAATACATTCACTCATCATGTCCCACTTACATGCATACCCCTCACCACCAATACATCCACTCATATCCTGCTTACATGCATACCCTCACCATCAATGCATTCACCCACCCAGTGCTGCTGCTGCACATCCCTCAGCGCTGCTCCAGGCTTGCGCGGCGGAAAGCTTGCACTGCAGTCCACCATCCATCCGCCTCTGTTATGTGCAAAGCTTCATTGCTCTACTCACCGAGTGCTGGTGGATGTCCCTCAACGTTGCCCCTGGTTTGCACATCGCTATGCATTCCACCATCGCCTGCCGCACTGCCTCGTACACTGCTCTCTGCCACGTCAGCACAAGGAATCGAAGACTCTCTGCCACATCAGCACAATTAACGGACAGCTTTCTGCCACATCAGCGTGATAAGATGGAGATATGTGGCGTTCTATGACTTGACGAGTGGATATATATTGTACGCAGCAGCAGCCAATGTGGATTTCATCAAAGGAAAGAAAGAAAGAAAGAAAGAAACCGGGCACAATGACATGATGAGGTAGCATTGGTTCGAAAAGGATGTCTTGGTAGCACCACCAAGTTAAAAATCAAGCCAATATGACTTGGTCAAATCCCACTTCCTTTTCTCGTTGTGGCCAGAATAAAGTGGTACAGAAGATGTCGAATACAAGATGAAACGCGGAGGAACATGGGCGTGAGGGCAGGATGACACACCGACCTAATGTTCGCAAGTACCGACACACCGACACACCGACCAAGTACATCGACACATCGACACATCGACACATCGACACACCGACACACCGACACATCGACACACCGACACACCGACCAAGTACATCGACACACCGACACACCGACACACCGACACACCGACACACCGACACACCGACACACCGACCAAGTACATCGACACATCGACACACCGACACATCGACACACCGACACACCGACACACCGACACACCGACACACCGACACACCGACACACCGACACATCGACACATCGACACACCGACACACCGACACACCGACACACCGACCAAGTACATCGACACATCGACACATCGACACACCGACACACCGACACACCGACACACCGACCAAGTACATCGACACATCGACACATCGACACACCGACACACCGACACACCGACACACCGACCAAGTACATCGACACATCGACACATCGACACACCGACACACCGACACACCGACACACCGACCAAGTACATGCCTGAGCAGGGGAGAACCTCCCAAAGGGCGGCCACACTCGAGTGATGTCCGATGCATAGCCAAAGTACTCGCAGCCCGCGTCCACCAGTAGTGCCTCCCCGGGTTGCACCTGCCAAGAGTAAGAGATGCCACCACAGAATGTTTATGAGGAGGGATCTATGACATAGAAATGCAATTACGTCTCATCTTCGCACTGCTGCCAGCTGCACGGCAAGAACGAGTAAATCACACTGCAACAGACACACTCTAGCGAGCCACACTCCATTGCCTCACCGGCTTGTCATTCCTCAAGTAATGCACGACGCACGCACTTGCACTGCTGACAGCAGCAAGGACTGCACGAAAGAACTACACGCACGAATGGAAGACCATGACTGCAACAGAGCACACTCTACAGACTCACCGGCTTGTCATTCCTCAAGTAATGCACAACGCACGCACTTGCACCACCGGCCACAACTGGCGGATAGCTGGAGAGAATGGGGGTGGGGGGGATTGTTTTTGAGTCAACTCAAAAGCAGACTCATTACACGCAGTGTTGAGTCGACTCAAATCCACCGGCCACGACTGGCGAATACCTGGAGAGAATAATAGGGCGAGGTGTGTGCCGGGGGGGGGGGGGGGGATTGTGTGTGGGAAGCAACGAAGCTCATGGTCAAGTGGCAGTGATGACGCATCATCTCAACACGCCTGCAGTCTAGTCACTAGAGAGCCTACTCTTTCGCCATAAGATGATGATGGAGAAGGTTCAGGCTTTCTACTGAATTGACAGAGAAACCTTAGAGTTGACTAACATTCATACCTTATGTTAGGGTATTTACCCATATTACTCTCTTACCTCGCCCCACCAGCCTCACTCCTCTGGCATTGCGCTTACATCCATTCCTGCTCGTTTTGCATACTCTTGCCCCCCCCTCAACTGCCCTTCACTCTGCTTCTGCTACTCACGAAATTCACTGCGGCCCTCGTCTTTTGCACAAAAAAAAAACAATCAGAGCAATGATATGTGCTTCATGGGGCAACGAGCCTCCCATGCGGCTTCTGAGAAAACTCAGCCCAACGCTCAGCTCAACTCAACTCAACACCCTACACTCCACTCAACACCCCATACTCACGCGAACCGCTGTGCCCCCCTCCATTTGCACTCAAACTCGATCAGAGCAGCGATGTGAGCTTCATGGGGCGACGAGCCTCCCATGTGTCCCTCCTTATGGGCGGCAGAACCACACCCTCCTCCTCCTCCTCCTGCTGCTGCTGCTCCTGCCACGGCTGCTGTCTCCCTCATTGCTGTGAGAAAGGCCTGCAAGGCAAGAAACGAGGGATTTGGTAGCAGAAACGTGCCCCGCCTCCTGAGGCATGTGCATGTGCAGGTGCATGTGCATGACTGAATTCAAGCCGACTCAGACGTAACCTAACAGCTGGGAGAAACAAGAAGTTGTACGATCCTTCCTAGACCCCTCTCAAACTGAGAACAAAAGTCTTATTTTTGAGAAATTTCAAAAACAAGTCCCAATCCCGTTGTCCCAATCGAACTGAGAACAAAAGTCCTTCTGTTGGACAATCTCCGTGTCCTTTGCCTCTGGCACAACAACACAGCTGCGCTTTTGTGATGTGAAGTAACCCAATCCCATATTTGTGAATCGTGATTGGGAATGATCTCACCCAAACTCATACTGCCACCTTGACAGCTTGTGTTGTAGCCACACCTCCCATCTGAGCCGTCAATTACCTCTCCTGCGATCTCAGCCGCCCGTCGCATGAGCCCCTGTTCCGCTTCAGATTTGATCCACCGCTGCTCATCCAGGGCACTACGGGATGACAGCAGCTGCCCGGTTGCCAGCTCAGCAGCGAGTGCCGGCACTGTAGCAATCAGATCGCGGTTGGCGCGGTGATCACAAAAGATGCGAGGAGGTGGAGAGAGCCCAAAGGAAGAGGTGGAGGAAGAAGAGGGGCGGTGTGCTGAGGTGCGTCTTTGAGCTTCCAAGAGGTACTGTGTGTGACACGACACGTGGGGGGAAGGAGTGTTCAAAAGAAGGGGGGGGGTGGGGGAGAGGGGATAGGGTGTGGAGAGGGGTTTGGATTAGAAAGGAGGCTTTGACTGAAGGCGCCGTGGCATGAGCGAGGATGAATGAGCCCCATGGAGGCACAACAAGAGGCACAAGTGCATGGATGAATCAATGAATGCGAGCATGAATAAATGCACTCCTGAGCTCAGGCACAACGCTACTCATTCAGGAATAGATTCTGGGTATGCACGCCGAATGCATGCGTGCACAGTGCACGCACGTCATGTAACGATGTGAGTGTAAAGGCGTGCATCATGCATGTCAGCACACCATTCATGGCATCCATGAATGAACAGTGCATGCCAGCCAGCGCACCTCGTCCAGAGCATCCATGAACAGTACCTCGTCCAGGGTATCCATGAACAGTACCTCGTCCAGGGCATCCATGAACAGTGCTCTGTCTGGCTTGAAGAAGGCCGTAGCAGCAGGTGGGTCCAGCGCCCTGCCATCCCACACCACCATCTGCAGGCATTGGAGAGAATGAGGGGCTTGAGAAAAGGTTGAGCGCTCTGTCTGGCTTGCCAGAAGGCCGTAGCAGCAGGTGGGTCCAACGCCCTGCCATCCCACCCACAGCATCATCTGAATTTGGGAGTGTCAAGGAGGAAACAAGATGAATGGGAAAGAGGAGACATGGTGGAAGTGCGTGTGCCACACCGCATCATGCCACACCGCACCATGCCACACATCATCATGCCACGCCATGCCATGCCACACCGTCCCACCATGCCACACCGCCCCACCATGCCACACCGCCCCACCATGCCACACCACCCCACCATGCCACACACCCCGCACCACCATGCCACACCGCACCATACCAAACCGCACCATGCCACATGGCACCATGCCACATTGCACCATGCCACATTGCACCATGCCACATTGCACCATGCCACATTGCACCATGCCACACCACACCATGCCACACCGGACCACCATGCCACACCTCCTCCTCCCCCTCCTCCATCCGCCCTCTTCCCCTTCCCTCCCTGCTCCCCCCCTCTTCTCTCCCCCCATCCCCCCATCCGCACCACTCCCCCCCAGCAACTCTGTATGACAGCCACCACCCCCGATGGCAGCATTCAGTGAGGTAATCATATCATCAGCTCGCTGCCGTGGCAGAAACAACGCAAACTGAACCTCGTGTCCCTCTCCGCAGCCACTCTCTATGACTGCCACGCCCCACCCCCCCTCCCCCCCCCCCCCCCCCACACCGCAGCACCCCGTGAGGTAGATCATATCCGAGTCCGGGCGGTAGGGGAACAGCACCATGCCCGCCATGCCATCCCATGCCATGCCATGGCATGCACGTTCACAAGCACACGCACCTGCAAACGCACCCTCTCCTACCAACTCACATCAGCTTGCTGCCGCGGCAGGAACAGTGAGAATTGCACCTCAGGCCCCTGTCCCTCTCCCCCTCTGCTCTCTATGACCGCCACCACCCCCGGGTGCCAGCACCCCGTGAGGTAGACCATATCCGAGTCCGGGCGGTAGGGGAACGGCACTATGCCTGCCATGTACCGGACCGGTGCCGCGCCCACCACTAGCACGCTGCCATGTGGCAGTCGCGACATGACCGCTTTGCGCCGGGCGGCGAACTCGGCCGTGGTGACACCTGGCAAAATGTCATTGGGGCCGAGCAGCTGTGTTGGGGGGGTGGAGAGGGGGAACAAGATGGGGAGAGGGGAGAGGAGCGAGCATGCAGGGGCGAGAGAGGAAGAGGAAGGAAGTCGGAAGTCAATAACACCCTTGTGTGGTTGACGAGATAGCACTGTGCTATACTTTTTGCCATCCTTGTTCTCAGGGTTAAATCCCCAATCCCTTCTCCGCTCCCAACTCAGGTTCAAATCCCTTGCCCCCAATCCCCACCTTGTTCCCACAGACCCCTCGCTCTCCTTTTCCCCGCCTCCCTCACCTAAGGGCGGCCTCGGGCTTCGGCTGAGAGAGCCTCCCCAACCTCCTTCCCCCCCCCCCCTTTACACCCCCACACCCCAACCCCTCCCCCACACAACCCCAAAATCCTTACAGCCTCACCCCCCAACCCCCTCCCTCTCACAACCCCAACTCCCTTACACCCCCACCCCCAAAGCCCTCCCTCTCACAACCCCCAAACCCCTTACAAACCCACCCCCTCCCCTTCTCACCTCGGGGTGGCTCTCGGGCGTCGGCTGTCCGACCTCCACGCTGCCGCCGTCCCTCAATTCGCCTCCTGCCACGTGGTGCAGCCACCGCCTGCTGCCGCCCCTACTGCCATTTGCAGTTTGGAGCAAAGGAGCAGTGCTTATTCGGTTGATACAGGAACTAAGGTAACCCGCCGGGTTGAATTGTAGGCTGTATCCTGTGCTGCTAGCACTCCGTGGGTTGCAATCCGCAGCGTCTAGATCAAGAATTTGACGGCTGACCGGCTCGGACCTCACGGCCGCCGGCTGACTGACAGCCGACTCGAAGGGGACGGCGGAAGAAGCTGAAGGGATCGGGAAGGAGCGAGGAGCGGTGGAAAGCGGTGGGGTGACGTTGGGAGAAAGCGAGCGGCGGGGGGTTGATGGGAAAGGCGAGGAAGACAGCGGAAAGAACGCGGGAGATGGGAGAACGGAGGGGAGCGACGATGCTGCCCTGAAGGCTTTGGCCAGAAAGGAGCGGAAGATCGGACGGCTCTTGCGGCTTCCCGCGAAGCGCCACATGGCGAGACGAGGCCACGTGGCTACTGTGAGGAATCAGGCGCGTGGTGATGAGGCACCGCGCAAGGGGCTGGCTGGTGGTGGAAGGGGCTGCTTATGTACTCGCTGAAATGAGTCGCGATCAAGTTCTACAATAAGCGAAGAGAAAACTACAGACGGTACCTTACATCTTAGGCGATAAAGTCTAATGTTGTGTCACTAGATTCACTTTCACTTAGTTTAGTGCGCCTTAGCAGAATTTTTTTCGTTTTGAGTCGTTTTGATGCACAAGAAATGTATATCAAAGACAAAATTAAAAGGTGAGCTCAAGTTTCGGACAGTTGTTTGGTATTGGAACGACTACGTGTGGTCGTCGAATTAATTCATTGCTTTAATCAAGCAAGTTACATTTATAATAACATAGAAAAGTGTAACTGGACTGGACAATGTACACAGATGATAAACAAATATTCGTTTTAGTCAGATAATTGTAATTTTGAACGTTGCTGCGAATCTACAGCAAATTTGTTATGCGGGTTGCTTCTTAGCGGAAAGTCACATATGTCACGAAGTGCTAGGAAGCTAGGAAGCCATGAATGGCGTGAGGTTTTAGTAAGCTAGGAGAGAGTGTCGAGAGAGAGAGAGAGAGAGAGAGAGAGAGAGAGAGAGAGAGAGAGAGAGAGAGAGAGAGAGAGAGAGAGAGAGAGAGAGAGAGAGAGAGAGAGAGAGAGAGTGTGTGTGTGAGAGAGAGTGCGAGATTAGAAGAGAGAGGGGTACAAGGAGGGAGTTGCACCCTCTACAGTAGGATCCAACAAGACCTACCAAGCCTACAATTATAAATATAATATAACTTTAACACACCCCCTAGGCTTGATAGTCACAAGCCCACCCCACACGCAACACCTCACAGCCTAGCACCGCCATCCCCTGCAGCAGAGGTGATTGCAGGGAAGGAAGGCGCTAGGCCTTCTTGAGCTGCGGCGGGGCGGAGCCAGCTGGCGTGGCGAGCTGGGATCGACGCTGCGAGCTGGGACCGACGCGGCGAGCTGGGTCCGCTGGGACCGACGCGGCGAGCTGGGTCCGACGCGGCGAGCAGGGTCCGACACGACGAGCTGGGGAGGCGCGGCGAGCTGGAGTGCTGGCTTGCTGCCTGGTGCCTCAACCAGTGTGCGGCCCATTGCCGCCCGTGCGCTGACGCGACGACGGCGGCACAACGGCACAACGAAGCAGCCATGTCGAGGCTGCCACGGCAGCACAACAAAGCCGCCATGGCAGCACGACACGACCGCCGCGGCGGCACGGAAGTAACGAGAAAAGGGGGGGTACGCGGCGGAAGCGTAAGGAGGCGGCCCAGCAGGGCGGACCGCCGGCTCTGATACCATGTCACGAAGTTCTAAGACGCTAGGAAGCCATGAATGGCGTCAGGTTTTATTAAGCTAGGAGAGAAAGTCGAGAGAGAGAGAGAGAGAGAGAGAGAGAGAGAGAGAGAGAGAGAGAGAGAGAGAGAGAGAGAGAGAGAGAGAGAGAGAGAGAGAGAGAAAGAGAGAGAGAGAGAGAGAGAGAGAGAGAGAGAGAGAGAGAGAGAGATAGAGAGAGAGAGAGAGAGAGAGAGAGAGAGAGAGAGAGAGAGAGAGAGAGAGAGAGAGAGAGAGTGCGAGATTAGAAGAGAGAGGGGTACAAGGAGGGAGTTGTACCCTCTATTGTAGGATCCAACAAGACCTACCAAGCCTACAATCATATATATATAATATAATTTTAACAACTTAAACATGTTTTCTCTTGAATTCCTGCTTCCGACTGCCATGGTCAGCTGCTTCCAGTAACTCCTATAAGTTATTTAGAGCAGTAAGTAGGTCATACTGCCTTAGGGCGCTCCTCGATTCTCCACTCGTCATTCTCCACTGTTTCCACTCGTCACTCTCTAGTAGCAGGTGTACTACTCAATTCTATTTCCACCTTTCCTGTTACTCTCACCATTGACTCTACACTGTCGGAAAGTATTGCCCGGATAAAGTCCAATTTTAGGTTCAACACACCATTTGAATGCTTTCACCCGATGTATCGTTGAATCTTCAAAGCTGACTAGTAAGTAACGAGTGCCAGTTGCAATAGGGTAACACGTTTGCAATTTGAAGTGGTCGCACTAATAGCGTGGACAAGATTTCAGTCGCGTGAGTGCATCCGGACAGTTTCGGCCAAGCAGCGGACTAGATCCGTTTTCGACTAGCGCATTCTCTCCATAGTTCCTAACGCAATCGTCGATTAGTCAGAATAGAGTTTATACCCGAGGCATAGACTACGCCAAGATGAGACCGATAGATGAGGCTCGTCGCGTCCGGATCGTGGCCCTGTTGCGTAGGGGGTACAGCACGAGGCAAATCGCGAAACAGGTTGGCGTTGGGAAAAGTACAGTACATGATGTCAGGCTCAAGGCGATTTCAGAGACTAGTCCCGAGGACGTACGTCCTACAATGCCCACTGCTGGTCGTCCACGCGTACTGACGAATAGAATTCGTCGTGGGATCGTCAGGGCGATCACTAGCGGCGAGGCGAAAATCTCGAGGCATGCGGCCCAGATCGTCGAATCCCAGTACGGCATCACGGTGCATCCTAGGACGGTGCGTAATGCGCTCAAATCCAGCGGCCTTATCGCAGTTCAGCAGCCTAAGAAGCCGCGACTCTCCAAGAAAAATATCCGCGATAGGCTGGCGTTCGCAAGGGCCCACGCGGATTGGACCATAGATGATTGGCGATGGGTCATATGGTCGGATGAGACGAGGATTAGTAGGTTCTGCTCTGACGGCCGCGCGTACGCCTGGGTTCGTGAAGGTACGACTCTCCAACACCACCAGATCAAGCAATGGGGGTGGCGGCTTCATGATCTGGGGATGTATGACGTTTGAGGGGGCGGGTTTCATGTGCAAAATCAATGGTCGGATGGACGAGCCGCTGTATCTGAGCATTTTGCAAGACGAGCTGAAGAAAACCATCGACTTTTACAAGCTACCCCCCTCGGCTGTGATCTTCCAGCATGATAACGACCCCAAGCATAAGTCCTGTGTGGTGCAGCAGTGGCTTCAGGAGCAGGAGTATGGGGTCCTGGAGTGGCCGGTAGGAAGTCCTGATCTGAACCCCATTGAGCATCTGTGGGCTCATCTTGAAAGGGAGCTGGGAAAGCATGAGACACCTCCCACTGGTATGGTGGACCTGTGGGAGCGTGTACAAGAGGAGTGGGAGAAGATCCCATCAGAGGTGTGCTCCAATTTGATCGACAGCATGCCGAGGAGGGTGAAAGCAGTGATTAGGGCTAAAGGGCGGTGGACCAGGTACTAGTTTAAGGGTTGTTCAAGTTGCTACTTCCGCCTGGAACTAATTGTCCACATGCACCGTGTTTGGTTATGTTTGCTTTTTACTGTTAACGATAGTAGTTTCATCAAATGTGTAGCATTTTTGTGTGTCCCTAGATTGGCCTGCATATAATGGGTAATGCCTCCAATTAAGGCTTAATGTACAAATGCCCTTTAACGGTGGAAATTCAAAAAATTGCCAAACATGTGGACAATTCTTTCCGTCGGTTCGTTCCCCTCCTCGTTCGACCTCTCTGCGACGTTTCATCTGTCTCGTGAACCAATTGTAGATCCCCCATTTCCGCAAGCCCTTTGTAATCCACCCTGTTCGCGAATTCCGTAGCGTCGCCTACTCTCTTGCCACCATCTCCTTTCCTTCGCCTGCGCTGTGAGTGAATCTCATATCTCGTTTCCGTGCAAGGGAACATGCAACCAAAATGGTGCACAGGCCATTTAAATTCAAACACTTTTTCCTCTAATAGGGGATGCGTCATAGCTCATCTTCCCTTTTCTCCTCCCCCTCTCTCTTCTTGCTAAGTTTCAAAGTGATCCTGCTCCAGGGAGGCCCGAGTGTGCTTCCACTCCTCACTTCTGTGACTCTCCCATCTCACGCGCTGCTGACCACAAGCTCGCCAACCTCGCTGCGAAGCGGCTGGGGCCTGAGTAGGAAAATCTACACCCTAAGACTCGCATGCTTCCCTAGCTAGCTCTCCCATGCCGCCTCGCGCTGCTGACCGAAAGCTCGCCAACATCGCTGTCAAGCGGGTGGTGTCTCGACGCGCCGTGCTGTGACACGGATGACTATGTCTCGTGCCTCACCCAGTAAGCCACTGCAAGAAGGTCCGGCATTCTTGGTTCAAGTGCTTCAGCAGGCCGGAGGGATGGGCGCCTCTAGGCATGAAGCCGCCAAGTGGTGAAAGCGCACAAGGTGGCGCTATGCAAGGCTCACGTGCACAAGGTGAAGGTGCACACGGCAATGCCTCCCTTGGGATGTTTCTAATGGTTGAGGATATGCATGGGCATGAGAACGATGTGGGATAGTGGAAAATGTTGTGATGCACCCTCTCATGCACTGGGTGATTGATTCACGTTGCACAATTCACATGACCCTATGGGCAGATTTGCTTGATGAGGTAAAACCCCCTAGGAATATCAAGTGTGTCGTAGCAGTGTCAGGTGCTTTGTTCCGTGTGATTGGTATTGGGAATGCCAAGGGTAAGAAAGCTAATGGGGAGCTTGTGGGGCTTGGGAATGTTCTGCTCGTTAAAGGTTTGTATGCTAACCTTCTTTCTGTGCAGCGACTGCAGAAGAGCAAGGCCGAAGTGACCTTTGGACCAACCAGACACATGGTGAAAATAGATGTAACCGCGGGTCTTGAAAGTAGAAAAGAAAGTGCAGCAGTAGCAGACACATGGTGAGGTGCTTGCTATTTTGGATGCGAGTGCGGCATGGGCTAAGGCATGGCATGAGAGGCTGTGTCATGTGAACTTCCCTATGCTGCACAAATTGGTGAAGGACGGGAGCCTGAAGGGCTTGGAGGTGAAGGGGGGAGTAAAGGAGATTGGGGGCTGCCCTACATGCTTGGAGACCAAGTTCTCCAAGTTCGCTTTCAACAGTACAACAGGACCAGTGTGAGAGTACGACCCTGTTACACTTCTTTCTAATTTCCATTTTCTTCATATATCTCATTCTTCTAATCAACCTGTTTCCTTTGATCTTTATCACATC